TATATATATACTTTGATTTGAAAGAAGAAATAGGTGGAGGATTTTATTGAAATACAAATAGGGTTAAGGCGATTTCATCGAAAGATAAACTTAAAATTCTAAACTCGAATTACCCTTCAATAATGTTTGAATCATTTAGTTTTGACACCAGTTTAAAAGATATATGCAACAGTAATTATGGGCCCTTACTTATTCAATTCAACTATTATATTAATGTCAGATCACGGAACATAAATTTCCTTTCCAGATGATGAAAAACAACTTGAAGTGTCACCTTTTTGGATCGTTTAATTGTAGTTTTTGAAAATTTGGTCTAGATTCTTTAAATTACGTTGTCAATATTTGATTTTTCCACTGATTCATGCATTCTAGATTCTTTAAATTATTTTGACAACATTTAACTTTTTCACGATTAATGCAAATATACTCTAAAGCATTTAAATACACATCAATAAAAAAAATCAGAAATTTAATATGACCAAAGGTTTCTATTTGACATTGATGTTACAGAATGAGAACGCACAAGGCGAGCACAACTTTCCCCATCTCCCTGAGACAATCTGTTTCTCAATTTTAAAGGCTCATTGAGAATTTTTTTTCAAAAAAAATTATTGGCAGCAATGACTTCTTTAACACATTCAATTCATTTATTCTATAGAATATCCCTTTGTTGGCAGAAAAATGGATCTACTTGAGCTATAAAAATTATATTTAATAGGAAGGATCAAGTTTCTACATACATGTTTCAACCACGAAAAAAATGAATATCAAATATATAATATAAAAAACGGATTCTGAATGTATGAAAATCAAACATTTTTTTAAAAAGGAAATGTTTCAACAAACTCGATAATATGAGTATTCATAACGCGGTGGCTAACGTGTAAATAAAAAAATCGTTCATCGCCAGATTTGGAGAGAGTTTGAATTATATACGAGGCTCTTTTTTTACATACCCTTTAAATAAAATATTAATCAAAACGTAATTCAATAAAGGGAATCAAAAAAGTAGACAATACAATTTTTGAAAAAATACAACTTTTCTACGAACTTTTAAAATCGATAGATATATTGCATCAGAAGGGAGGGTCCTCATCTTGTACGCCTCCATTCTTATTCAGATTTCCATTTCTGGTCCGCGCCTCAACTTTTTTCTGAGTATAGTATTTTGCTATCGTAAATTTTCCTTTAGGTGCTGGTCCCCCCCCCCCCTCCACTTTTTTATGTTGTAAGGTTGAGTACTGGCAAATTCGAGGATTTGTACTGTAAATTAGCTTTTCTTTAATATGTGATGAGTTATACTATATTGTTTATTGTATGTAAGAAACACAAAAATCTACCGTCTGGTTTCAAGAGGGGGGATCTCAAAATGTCAATAAGACAGATACACAGAATTTAAACAAAAATAACAAAAATAATTGTTTCTCAAATTTCTATGTTTTATATTTCAAGAGCTTATATTTTTCATATTTTCCTTTATAACATTCTTCTTAAAGAACTTCAGTTTATCATAATGTCACAAACACACTATTACGACGCCAAGCTCTGATCCTTCGACATATTTGGCTCCAGTCTTTGGCACTTTTTTCAGCTCTTCAAAGTCTTTTTATTTAAATATTTTGGATTTCCAAACTTTCGGCATGAACATCACTGAAGAGACACAATTTGTCGAAATGCGCATCGGGTGCATTAAAATTGGTACCTTATATGATTTACATTTGTAAATCTTTATTTGGAAGCTATCCCTCCCACTCCCCCACCCCCCCCCCCACCCCCTTCCCACTTTTTCTTGCTGTAGGTCAAACACTGGCAAATTTTAACATTAAACAATGGACTGAAAACTTAGAGAAAGGTCCAAGCCCCCCACCCTCGAAATAGGATTTTTGAGATTGGGCAGTTTTTTTTGTTTTATTCTTTTTCTTTTTTCTTTTATTTTTTATATATTTATTTTTTGACTACGGACGTTGATCCACAATTAAATAGAATTCATCATATTAAATCTGACAATCAAATAGAAATATGATTCCCAAACCTCAAAGCTTAAAAGAATAATGAAATTGAAATTATTAGAAATAACTACTTGTCATAATATAAATAACTATCCTCCAAAAGAAATTTCAGTCCTGTCAGACTAGTATACAACGATCCTTTTGGTATACCGATCCCGATGTATTTTCATTGTATTTAAAGAATGGAAGCGTGCAAGGCGAGGACAACCCCCGCTCTGAAAAAAAGACCTTACTTAATTAATAAGATTCATGAAAAGTTACATTTTTCAAAAAAAAATTGTCAATATCATCTTTTACACATTTGCTTCCCCCAAGAGAACGAGGACACCACCACCACCATAACTGGTTTTTCTTTGTCAAGAAATTTCTGGATTGGAATTTTCTTTTACTTGGGTGCACGCCCAGGAAAAAAATTCCTGGATCAGCGCTTATACTTTGTGTAATATAATTATTGTGACTCTGTAACTCTAAGAAAACATATGACGTATAAGTTACCATGATGGTAACGTTAACAGTACATCACAATGCTGATATTAATAGGAATCAATTTTAAAAGCGTCAAATAAAGTATGTGGAGATAACAAACAGTATTCGAGCTCAAAAGTCCATTAAACATTACAAAATACGAGCAAACACGAATCTCTAAGACATCGGAGGTGGGATCAGGTGCCATGGAGGAGTGAGCATCCCCTGCAGACTGGTCACACCCGCCGTGTGCCCCTTGTCATAATTGAGAAATAACGGAAAAATCCGTCGACAATTCATTGTGTAAATAATGGCCTTACAATTAGTATGAAAAAAGTCAGTCAACATTTGACTTAAAGATAGATTGTATTTACTGACAAGGTCATTGCTTCGACCATAACCTTACGAAATGATGACTTTAAACGAGACTGCTAATATTCTTGTTTCATAAACTTTTTTGTCAATAACTTACCTTGTTTAGAAATGGTTCATACGTGGAGCATGCTCTGGCGTATCGAATCAACTGAGAGATATAAACCCCTTATGCAGGTGTTAAGGGTATATTGCTGCATAAGTAAGGGAAGTTGGCGATTGAAAAGTTAAAGTCATCACGTTTATCATAAAGCTTTGTTGTTAGATTACCATTAACGTCTTTTTCTAATAAAATATCCAAATATGAAACAGAAGTGTCAGACTCTGTGGTATCTTTTATCTCAAGCTCAGCGGGATATATCGTGTCGACATAAGAATGGAAATAACCTTTGTTAATTGACAATACGTCGTCGATATATCTAAATGTCGAGTTGAAGGCTACAGCAAGTGTTTTCTTCTTTTTACGTAAAAAATTTTGAACAAATTCTGCTTCATATGAATACAAAAAAAGGTCTGCTAATAACGAGGCAATTGATACCCATGGGAATTCAAATAGATTGTTGGAAGACCTGCTCTCCAAAAACCACATAGATATTGTCAATCAGAAACTCGAGCATCTTTTTAACGTCAACTTCAGAGTACTTATGTGTACAATCAGATTGTTTTAACAAAGTAATTTTGCAAATGACCAATGACAAGGTAAGTAAATTTACAAGTTCCATTTTTATTGATAAAGCAGCTGATCAAAGTAAACTAGATCACGATTACGAAAACTCATAGATTCTTCATTGCCGTCATTTCAAATTATAGAATAGTCGTAAATATTTAAGTATTAAATAAAAATATTAGGTAACATACATGAAAATTATACTTTCACAATAAGAATGATGAAAAACTACAAATATAAAATAATATCGTCAGGAATTATTCAATTTAAATCCTAAAAAGGGATCCTTGACACAGTTTGTCATACTCTGCAAAATATGCTTTTTGAAGAAGACGGGACCAGCGATAAAAAAAGAAATGATGAAGGGGGAAAAGCTATGAAATCATTTGTTAATGATATATGTAGTTCTATTTTTATCAAAGAAGCTGATAAAGCAGGAGCTCTTGTAGTTATTATGAACGCAGAATATTAAAAATCAAATATACAAGCGCTAATCAAAAGTAAGTTTTATAGTGAAATATTTTGCAAAAGTGATGCAAAGGTCCGATCAAAAGAACACAATAAAACCTCCTTTTTATCAACCAAACAAGCGAAATTTTCGAATTGATTATGATTCAATTAAATGAAAGAGTCTTTTATGGACTTCCTAAGATTCAAAGACAAATGCTGCATACATTATCTGAACATTTCAAAAAAACCTTACATTTAGAACTATTGTGGGAGGATCAAAATCTCCAACACAAACATCGAGATATCCATACTTCTAAATTTTTTATGCTCAGATGTAAAAAGTTATGTTTGACTTTCAGAGATATGTACCAGAGAAGGATTTAAATTGAAACACTTTATTTCAATAAAAAACTAAAAACGGATTAGTAGGCTGAAAAGCCGTCATCTTCTGCCAGAATAAAGAATTCTGTCAAATGTTATTTACTTTTAGAGACAAGTAAAAGTAAATAAAGTGCTAATCTAAAGATTGGCTTGAAGGAGCACAAGAGCAGGAAGAAGTATTAAAATACAAAGAAGGGAATCTGTTAAAAAAGATATTCTGTAATCTATAAATTAATTTTCCAGGTAATACTTAAAATTTTGAAGATGTAATATTTAGACTACAAATTGAACAAAGAAAATTATGTTTAAAATAATACTAATAACAACTCGAGTCACTTCCGGGTGCAACTTTTATTAACATTTAACCTATACATAAAAGGTAAATGGAAAGAAGATTCGATTGTGTGTTTCCTATTTTATTCAAGCCAACGGTGTCGGTTAACATCCTCATAAAACAATAAAGGCTTAAGGAACTCCGATCGAATAATACAGGCCGTTTGAACATCGAATAAATACATTCTCTTTACAAAAAAATATCACAAATGTGATCTATTTGACAATATTCTCAAATGGAGAATACGTGTACTAGTAGATAATTCTCTATAATATGTTACTTATCAAATTTACAATATTAACGTGTTTTCCATAATGCACCACTAGCATTTATTCTTCATATCGATGAATTTTCTTGTAATACATTATCTGTCCTTGCTTGCGATAATTGCCTAAAGAAGAAAATAGGAATTCATTAAGTTAAATGAATAGTTAAATAATTCAAGAACTATGATGATATGAAATTCGCATATACAAAGCTTATTTACTTACACACTGTCAAATGAAGTTTTAAATACGAAGTTTTGGTCTCTCGTTTTCATATTTAATAAAGATGACAAACTGCTTTTCTGTTTTTGTGACCGACTTCTGTAAAAAAGTGAGAACTTTATGAAACATAAAACTACATACCTGATATACAACAATTATTAATTCAGAAAAAACATACTTACAAACATTTCCTCCAAAGTATGGTAGACATTATTAAAATGCCTAGTAGTAGAACAAATAACAAAACGCCAGCGATGATTATAATGGACGCTGAAAAAGAAGATCGGTACTGGTATAAAAAATCATGAAAAGGAAATTCATGGAGAATTTAGTTAGAGAAGGCAATGTTAATGATAATATCATGGGTTTTACTGTCACTCTTGGTGTCCAATTTGACGGTGCATTCCGTCACACTTCGAGACCCCCTTCCAGGGGTAGTCGTTTCCTTCGGACATTCTTTACAAGAAAGCTGTCCCATACGATCCTGGTAGGTTCCAAAGTCACATTTGATACATTCTTCTTTCTTGAAGTAGCGACCAGGAGCACATGGGACTTGTAAATAATTTTTTTCAAATCAGTTTCATTTTTATTTTTAAAAAAATGGTGTTTCAAAATGGAGAAAAATCATTTAAAGTCGTGATTATATAGAATAACATACTGCAGTAAAAATTTCTAGGCACCATGCCAGTTGAACATGACACGTCACTTTCAGCTTGAGAACTGGATGGGTCAATTTCATAAATGCTACCTTCTATATCAACATCAAGCGTGCGATTCATTGCCATTAGTTGTAAATCATTTACTGCAGCATATAGACTATTAAAGCAGATTTCAGTTCCGTCTGAAATATCAAAAAAAAATCAAAAACAAAATATATGACAGCCTATTTAACTAAGATCCAGTTTATGCATGAAAATACTTCTCATAAGAAGATCTTAATTTTTATTATTCTAAAAAATAGTTATGAACTCACGGATGGCAGGATCACATGACAAAGACACATCAATTCCAGCAGTGTTCGTTACGATAGATCTTTTCTGGCGCTGCTCACAGTCTGTGACGGTAACCCTGTCTAGGACACAGACTCCGATGGAAACGCATTCAATATTGTTGAGTGCAACTTGAGTAGTATCGGGAATTTTCCTGTGTACAGTTTTGTATTTTATTTCACTATCACATTCTAAGTTTTTGTATGATGCTGCATAGACGACCTGGAGCAGTTTACTGTCTTTTATCTCTGCAAATTAATTACAAGAGGGTAATAATAATTGTTTTAATAAAAAATAAAAGGTCATTATTTCAGACCTTCGGTGGTGGTTTGGGTGTATATGAATGCTAATAGGAATTTTAAGATTTTGTTGGTTCGAAAAGCAACGTGTTTTTGACAACCCTACTTTAAGTCAATAAACAAACTTTTTTCTGTAATATACAATTTCATGATTGTATTTTCTCGATATTTTCGAGATCAAAGCACTAGGATATGTTCGGAATCGATTCCAGCATATTTTAAATCCTAATATGGATAGTATGGATATATTTCTAATGGTATTATTTGAATCAGTTTTACTGAAAGGACAAGGTATGGTAACGGCCAAATTTGGCCCCTCCTTTAAAAATCAAAACACAGTTAAAATTGTGATAGATTGCAATTAAGTACACTAAATATTTTTTTTAAACCAGCACTACATTTAATTCAAAGCTTTAAAGCTTACACGGAAGCCACAAGAACTTGAAAAAGTTGGGCATTTTACCACCTTTCCTCAATTCTGATTTCCGGATTCAAAGAGCAAAAGCTTGCCTTAGATTTCCATACACAAAATGTATTTAATACTAGAGCATGAAATATAAAATCTGGTACATAGATAAGTTGTACGCTGACTTTTCTGAAATGAAATGTGCTTTAAAATCTTGAAAACTCGAAAATTGGCATATTTTGTGATCTTCATGTGATCTCTATGTATCTTATCATTTAGAATCAATGCTTATTTTGTAACAGAGATGACAAAAGGTTTCTGATTATGAACTATTACATCGTTCTTAGAGAAAAACCAAACCATGGCTAAAATGCGGTTTTAGCCTATCTTGTCCTTTACAGCAATGATTTAGCTTTTTTGATAAACCTGAGCAAGAAGGCATTTTTCCATCTGGGTTATCATCTGTCTGAAAATCCCAATGATAAAATGTGTCTTTTCCACACAAGTAGTAGGGTTTTATTTCATGGTCAAAGTCATATCCATCGGCGCAATCTAGAGTGCAGTTGGTGTTGTAGCTGTTGTTCGTACACGTCCAGATTACGTTCTCAAGCCGTTCTAGGGACCTACACTCTAGAAGTAAATTAAGGAAAAATGCCGAGTCATTTGCAGATCTGTTAAACATCGTGTAAGAGGAGAAATGTTATATCTTACCCGGACATATTCTTTCATTACAATTCTCGCTTTCTGTGCTGCTATCTGAACAAGCCAGTCCCCCGTTATCAGGAGCTGGATTGTTGCAAACCCGTGATCTATGTTGTGTCCCGTTTCCGCAAGTAACACTACAGGATGACCAGTCTCCCCAATCTCCCCACGATCCATCAACTATAACCAATATCAATAGCTAATTACTCAAAATATTTTACTTTATTCACATAACCAATGTAAAAGAATTTTTGAACAATTACCAATGGCTATTTCACACAGCTCTCCTTTATATCCACTTTCACATTCACAAGTGTAGTTTGCTGCTCCATCTATACAAGTTGCATTATTTTCACATACATGGTAAACACAGTCATCTATGTTATCTTCACATCTGGGACCAGAAAAACCGTAATTGCACTGGCATTCGTACCCACCGAGGAGATCAAAACATTTACCATTCAAACATGGATGAGATGCACAGTCATTTACATCTGATATAAAAAAAAAGTATTTAAAATAAATTTCCTAGCGTTTTTGTAGGTAAAGTGAGTGATTAAGACTAGGAAATTAACCTTGATCCATAAATATATTTATATGAAAGAGTAAGCGTGAGTACGTATATACATAGTACAGTTACCATCACATTCACTTGGAGTTTGTTTAAAAACATTGTCTTTCATGGTAAATTCAAAGTGTTTCCAGCTGACAAGATCTCCAGCTTCCTCAAACCCACATTTCTGGATGGTACTCAGAATCTTTAGGGAAAAGGTAGAATTGCCTTCCCAAATGTTAAGTCTTGAAATTGTTCCCTTGCCTTTCAAGAAATATTGTTTGAAAATAAAATTGACAAAAATTGAAATGAGTTAACTACATTATATGCATGCTTGACATACCTTTAAAAAATACTGTCATGTTCTGAGAACAATTTAGCATTAAGTTTGTGAGTTTTGTTTCTAGATTCCCGTCTACATAAAGTTCTGTGGAATCACCGTTTTGCCTTATGGTGTAGAAATGCCATCTTTCATCTTCAAGACTGAAGTTTGTCATTTTTATATCCCTTAAATAAAAACTCTCTCAAATTAATCAAAGAATTATGAAAATTGCACACGTCCGATCTTAATGACGATAGCTCTTTAATTGATGATATACATGTATATTGCATCAATAAGATGAATACATATCTACAAAATTTGAAATATTCAAATTCATACTTCTCATTTCCAATCGTAGTCTCATAACCAATAGCTATAAAGAATGTTACTATTCCAGTATCTCGACTTTTCAGCTGAAGCCTAAAATGATCGCTAGGGGAGATTTCCTTTCGTAACCCAAACGTTATTAGAGTAGACATAGTATTGTCAGCCAAAAAGTCTCTCGATACTTCACTTTCAACTTCCGTCAGGCGTAAATCATAATCTGATATAATTAAAAAGACCACTTGTAAGTCCTCAAAGAAGAATATAGAAAGTGGATTCGGGTATGGTTTCTTCTGGATTTGGTGTACTCTATACAATAACTAAAATTCTTGCATGTTTTTTTACCTTGACACTGAGTAATATTGTTTGCGCCCTCTTGTATTGTAGACTTTGAACCAGGGCAGGCTGTACAATGTACAGATCCGTAATCATCGCTAAAGGTTCCCACTACACAAAGGGAGCACGCAGGTGTTCCAGTGTTGGACCAAGATCCTTGTTCACATCCCTCTATAAAACTTCCAATAATCACTAAACTTTAAGTTGATTAATTTTTTTTATTGATTGAAAGGTAAAATAAAACAGTACCTTCACATTCTGATGAAAGCTGTGCCCCTTTTATTTTAGTTGTTTGACCTGATGGACATGCCAAACAACTGGATTGTCCAGTGGATGGCTGATAGGTACCACGGGGACACAATTCACAGATTGCTTTTGATTCATTGAAAAACGTTCCAGCCGCACATTGGACTACAATGCACATATATACATGAAGAGAGAAAGAAAAAAAAGAGACCTGTGTTTTTTGAAGAGATGAGATGACTTTCATCAAAAGAGTTATGAGTATTCAACATCATTATTCCACTTTCAATCAGACAATGCATAGATATGTAAATAATAAATTATCTTAGATGTTTTTCTTTTTAGTACAATTTCTCTCTGTTTTTGTTAGGTTACTGTTTCTTAGTCATTGGTCCTAAAAATTTCACAAAGTTTATATATAATTTTCAATTAATTCTGTGGCTTTACATCTACTGTTGATTCCCAAATATACGCGAGGAATTAATTATCGCGAGAAGCACAAGTCGAGAAATAAAATCACTCGCTTTTATTTTTTTATGGTGCTGAAATGCATGTAAAATCTTTAGATCAAGAGTCTACTTGCGAATTATTGTTCTCACGATTTGACGTCTTTGGGCCATTTTGCGATATGAAGAACTTGCTTAAAATAAGGAATCTACAGTATATATGTATCTGTAGCAATTGGAAAGAATGAAAAGTGAAAAGAATTATTGAATACAAATTACCACAAGATGTAGTCCTGTAGGAAGGTATAGATTTTTCTGGACATCCTAAAACAACGTCGTAATTTTCAACATCTTTGGCCTCCAAAATACCATGAATACTAGCATTAAAATCCAGTGTTCCTGTAATTCTAGCTTCGATAATCCTGTCAATGATATCAAATTGTTCCCGACGAAATTTAGCGAATGATTCAGTAAATACCGCATCATCAAATTCGGCTGAGATGTCAAAATCAATACGCATATCACCGCCGGAACGCTTTCTTCTTACTTTTTGACCACATCTCACCTAAAAAAATTTTAGTTTCAACACAATTACATTTTTTTTCAATGTTAGTAAAACTAAATTTGATTTTAACATAATAAGTCCTTTTTTTCATTTCATTTGAATATCAGTGTATATAATACAAGTTATATATATTGTATACCTGTACATTTTCCGCTTTACAATCTTTAGCATGAATTAAACATGCGTCTTTGAACGCGGATTCTGAGAGCACAGTAATGAACTTTTTCTTTATTTCATCTTGAACAGTCAGGTTTGTGCAATCACCGGAAAAGTAATACGTGATGGACATTCGAAGTATTCCCCGTTCTGCAAGACGACTTCCTTAAATTGAAAACATATAGAAAAATATCAAATAATTACTTCCTTATGAAAAATATTTATGAAATATATGGAGATAACGAACAGTATTCAAGCTCAAAAGTCCATTATACAATACAAAATAGGAGCAGAGCAAACACGGACCTCCAAACATCAGAGGTGGGATCAGGTGCCATGGAGGAGTGAGCATCCCCTGCCGACCGGTCACACCCGCCGTGTGCTCCTTGTCATCATCGGGAAATAACGGAAAAATCCGTCGACAATTCAGTGTGTAAATAATGGCCTAACAATCAAAATAAAAAATCAAAATAATAAATAATTTTACTTACTTGCACAATCCGGAAGTGGAAGTGATCCAGCTGGTAGCCATTGACCACTGTTACCACAAACAAGCATATCAACTGGACTATAATCGAGTTTCACGTCGTAACCCTCATTGCAAAGCATTTGACAAAATTTGCCACCATGCCAATAATCACATGCAAGAGCGCCATTTTGGGGGACATTTGGTTCTTCATAACATTTCTCAGTAACTATATTTGGGAGAATCATAACGTTATATATCTAAACTGAATACACCAAAATAAGGCTTATATTTAGATTTTCTACCAATTTTGAATACCTTGACAATACGGTTGTCTGTCATTCCAGGTCCAGTACCCAAAATTACCATTTCGGCTCTTTTCGCAGACAACAATTTTTGATCCATTGCGTACTGATCCAGGGTCACAATTAAACTCGCACTGACTTCCGTACTTTGTCCCCCATGGACAAGTGACACTCAAGAAAGGTGTAGGGTATACAGAAGGACAGGTCAGTACTACATGGATATGTATTAAGCAACATAAAACGTGAAGAAAATAATATTGCCATCTGCCATGTCACAAAATTGCCTTTGCAAAAGCAATTTTCAACAACAAAAACATAACAACAATAATTATTGTAGAAAAAATAAGCACAATGTTTTCCTGAGCTTTATATTTGCATACAGTACAAAATACTAAGATGTTTTGGGCAAAAACCTTCTAGCATTTTCTGGATATTACCTCTTAGGACGATGTGAATTTTACAGCTCTGAGCTTTGTTTCCAGCAGCATCTGTGGCCTTGTATACTATCTTGTAGCTTCCTTCCGAAAGTATGTCTCCTGGTGATATTGTTCCCTCTTTGACAACAATGACACTCCCGTCATGGTTGTCTGAGGCGGTGGGCTCTTTCCATGTTACGACACCAGTTGTTGAATTCCTGTCCGCAAAAGCGTACACTGTGTGTAAACAACCATTCAGTTTAGGCGGCTCAACATCTGCAATATTATCAAATATGAGATACTTCCGATACTGGTATGTGTTGAATTGATTGTAGGGAAAAAAATAGTACTTTTGATCAAAAAAGAATTATGCTTATGATACTAGTACCTCTACATGTGGGCTCTTCTCCTCTCCAAAATCCATAAGCTGTACAAATTCGAACACGTGACATACCAGGAGTGATGTCATAACCAATTGCGCAAGAATATGTACATATACTGCGAAATTTGTTATCATCCGTACAAGTGTATTTTAGATTGCCAACTGCAGGTGGAAGTGTGGGACATGTCTTTTCTAAGAAATCAAAGAATGTCGTCTCGATTCACAATATGACAATAATGATATATAATTGATTTGAACTTTAAGGCTTTTGAACTCACTTTTGCAATGTGGAAAATTATAGTTCCAACGTTTGCTATCAAGACATTCCAGTTGTGTATTTCCCACCAAACTATATCCAGGGTAGCATCCAAAAGTACAAGTTGCTCCATATCTAGCATCGTCACTTGGATGACACATGAAGTATCCATTGTTAACATTAGAAGGCCACGGGCAACGTACAACTAGAAAAATTAATGCCATATTCATGATTCCTCATAAATATCAAATTTATATTTCATATAATGAAAATAATTGAGATAGATGGTACTTAAAAATTAAATACCCGTAACGGTAACTGTAAAGGTACAACGTGCCATGTTTTCACTTCTATCTCGGGCATAATATCCAATAGTAGTTACTCCAGCACTGAAGTAGCTTCCAGGTGCTTTCCCTTCCCGTGTTGGTCTATTAGTTGTGAATGTAAAATATAGTATAAATAAATAAATATAGTAAAAAAAAAGTTTAAAAAGTTAAAAACTTTATAATGTAATATGACGAAGGAAATCTTTTCCAATATAATTTTTCTTAAGGATCTTTAGATCTACTCACGTGATTCCTCCGTCTCTACCGTCGTTAGCTGTGGGTTCCACCCAGGTTACAACTGTCCAGGTCTGCAATTTTTCAGCATTTGCTTGTATGTTCTGTGGACATGTTAAGCTGGGTGGTGTATTGTCTCCTACATAGAAATAAAGTGCATGATACTCGTCTTGGTAAAATATCATGATCAGAAGACGAAATTGCCTACCCAATATATTTGTAGCAACACAGGATAAAATATTGTGAAGCATACATATATATTTTTAAAGTAGAATTAAAAATTTGCTAGTCAATCAAATTTTGAGGGTGGAAAGCAGTCTTAAAATATTAAGTATTTTTTACCTTCAAGTAATGAAGTAATGCAAGATGAACATTTGTAATTAAAACATAGAAATAAAACTAACTATGCCGTGAACAACGTCCAAACAAGCAGCTAAAAAATCGGCCAACCGCTCGAAAAATTCGTCTGAATCGGAAAAAACGTTTGGGTCGTAAAAGGTATTCTTTATTTGGATCAAACGCTTCTCTACAATCTAAATAAAATTTTGCAAAATTATATACATTGAATCTCAGACTACATGTAACTTACTATTTATTGTTCTCGATGGTGCTTACATGTAACGTAATAATCATTCCACTTTCCATCATCACAAGTGACCCAGGCTTTTACTTCCTTATATGGACATATGATGTCACACGATGACCCAGCTGGGACATCTGATGCAATGGTCACGGGGATATTGTCTTTATCAGAACATCGAAGAACACGACCGGGCTCCAGGTCAGCAACATCACAAGCTGTATGATCCGGCTAAAAGCAATTAATTTCAACAAATATTGATTCACAAGTTATTGATCAGCAAAAGTTAACAATTGATATCAAAACGAAATAAAAATAAACCTTATATCCATATCCACTGGATTTCGCAATTATAATAGCACAGAAAATCGAAAATACATATAGGCAAACTAAACCACTGTATTGCACCATTTTATCCCTGTACAATGTCGTTAAGAACTTTAATACAACTAAATATTTAAACTCTGAATATATTTCAATTACATTTAAAAATCCCCCTTCTTGTTTTCGTTTTTGGATGATGTAGTCTTTATTTTTAAATCAATTAAATATGCATGTTTAAACTGTTCAATTTTGTGTCCAAGAAAGAGAATATTACAAGAGACTCACACCCCGTCTTTTCCCCTCCTATTCATCTCGAAGAGTTCCGCCCATGTGTGTGAGGTTGTGTGTGTTTACTTCCCTAGGTACCGGTGTTGTAGAGTAGGATTTCCCCCATTCCCAGCTTTCCCCATGGAATCTGTACTCTAGAGCAGAACTTCCCCCAAGGGGAAATCTCACACTGTAGCCAAATTTCCCCCTTTCTTTCTTCGAGTATGATTTCCCCTATTTTATCAATGCTAAAATCATAGCGACAATATTTTGGCTAAAAGTGTGTATGTAAGTCGATTTTTTAAAGAAACATGAGTGTTTTCGACTCATTAATTTTTCAAAATTATGAAATCTTAAAATATAAATCAAATTCAAATCAGTGAGTCTCAACCCTAAACTTCAACTCATAGGAAATGGCAAAATTAGTCACTCAAAAAATCGCGACTCGATGTCTCAACACCTCGCAGCGTTTGTTCACGAATTTTAAAATGTATATTGGACCACTATAGAGATTAAATAATTTGTTTGCCATCTACAGGCTCAGTTTTTTTTCTATGAATCTGTGCTTTTTAAAGAGAGTGTGTAAATATTCTAGAATTTATATCATTGATTGTTCCACACACCATTTTGTGAGTATTTGAATAGAGCAGTTCAATAACAATGCAAGAAACACTGCTCTTACAGAATGTCCCCTTGACCCAACGGTGAAGTATTGGATTTGAAGCAGAGAGCAAATACTCTCATAACATTTTACAAAATTTCATCAAATTTTTAGAAATTGGCCTATTTTTAGTTCCATGACAAGGACATTTTTTTCATATTTAATCCCCAGAAACAGAGAGACACTTACACATCAATAGAAGGAACATGTAGTTTGAAATAAAATTGGAGAAAATGATCAATTTAACGAGGCCGAGTCTAATTATTTCTACCCTAGATATTCTGATAAATTTTCTTCAATGATTTTTTACTATTACATTAATTATTTTAAGATTAAAAAAAAATGAAATGTTTACCATTCCGATTTCTTAAGGAGCCATCTCAAGAGTTGTCATATTTTACAATCGGACCCTATGGGATTTTGTTGGAAAAGAACCAGATTATCACATTTCCCCCATATTTTTTGCATTTCTGCCCTAGGGATTTCCTTTTTAGTCAAATACTGTAATATAATGTTAATTTTGTATCAAAATTACAATGCTTAGGATAAATGTTATGTTGGACCTACGAATGCATGAAACTAAAAAGCTGCGCAAAGTCATGTGCACTCGAATTAGACTCGGCCTCGTTAAATAAAAATGAAATTCCTCCTTTTTGTTTCCATGCCTACAGTTAAAAATTTGTCCCACCGATTTTCTCTCTCTCTTTTTTGCAGAAATCAATCTGTCCACATGAATAGAATAGGACTTTAATAATTTAAAAGCGGTTCCGAACAACCCCATGTTGCCTTGAAGTGTCAGTCTGAAAAAATTCATATTCCGACATCCATGCTGGGGGTCATGCTGTTTGGGACCGTTGAAAGTTAAATAAAGTATCAAGATTATGATTGAAATATATGGTTAATTAACGGATATCAAGCTTTTGGCAGTGGAATGCATATTTACAAGAATAATACCCGAAGAATGCAACAAAAAATCATTGCTGTTAATTGGAGATTTTTACACTGCTTGGATCTGTAGCCCTCTGATTTTTCTGTCCGGATTTCTTCAACCAGAGAGCTACCATTTCTGCAGCTAGGGGAAAATTGGCTCAGAAGGAAATCGCACTCTATAACTATTACATAGAATAGGATTTTTACCCCGGAAAATTGAATCTGATGTAGGATTTCCACGGGGGAAATCCTACTCTAGAGTATTTTTTGCGTGGGGAAATCCTAACCTAGAGCATTTATTCCCGGGGGGGGGGGGGGGGGGGGTCATTTCTCCAGAGCCAGTTTGATTTTAGAAGGGAAAGCCTTCTCTACAAGAAGACCGGTATTAGCTAAGTTTATATAGTAAAACGTGTTTTATTTGGCTTGTAACTTTTTGAAATTAAAAAGCTTGTGATAGAGTAATATGTCAGCTTAAAAGCTTCTGGCGTCATTTCCTCAGAATAGCACTTTGTAAACAAACCAAAATACTTCTCATCTCAATACACGTTTCTATGCATAATTTATGCTTGAAATCAGCCTTACTGCATATCATTGTAAACTTAAGTCATTTAAGTTTTATTCTATACCCAACAGGTATTACCATTATGTAAGGTATTTTTATTTAATATAGTCAATGAAAGTGCGGCATGGGAATTTCCTACATGCACTGCATTTCAGCCTGTTGACCAATTATTGTGGATTTGCACGCCATCAAGCGTCAATTCAGTTAGTAATTGTTTTGCATCGGTGATCATTCGTTTTGCAGCAAGGTCGTCTGATTTTGCAATTGAGTCTGTTGATTTTATTTTAAGCTGTTTGTTATTTATTTCAGAATGTTTTTGCAAGTCAATAGTTCTTTTCGTGAAAAAAGTTTTTCACCCTTCCCATGTACAAGTCAGTGGAAAAAGAAGTCAAGTTTATCTTCATTAGTATATTCATTGCAATATTAACAGATTCCGTTGCAAAACGAACAATCACCGATGCAAAATCGATAATCAGTACTTAATTGTGGCGAGTCTGTAAATTATTGAAAGCCAAAGGGTCCAACTATGTAATTTCTTAAAAGTATAAAGCCTAATTTGTAGATTGTAAATTTATAATTTTGCAAATTGTACTATTACAACTTGTTTTTTAATCCTGTGCAAAATGTAAAAGAAAACTTTGTTAAATCACAACATTGTAATCTATTGTCTTGTGATTTGTCAACTTGTAAAATGTAAAATTTGTTATGAAGCATTACGCTAAAGCCCACAAAGTAAAATAAACGTTTTATATATTTAAAAAAAAAAATCTTACTTGCAATATCATATTTCATGATGGTATGAGTATGACTTTTTATTAAAATTGTTATTTCCACCGTTATTTCTTTTTTTTCTTTATTTCTAACATTGAACACATTGTTCATGTGCTAGAAGAATAAATGAAACAAAACATGTAAAAAAAATAATCCATTTGGAGTTTGTGTATATATTAAAAAGGATGCTTATCCTAACAAGAAGGTACTAAACAATCAATTTCTGCCGTCTCTAGGACTGTTTGCAAAAATTATATCATACGGGGGAAGGAGGGGCTATTCCAGGATCAAAACATAAAGTTTCCATTAAAAAAACGATACATTTGTATATACAGATGGTTTGTCGATAATTAGAAATCTAAATACTTTCTTTTCCGGGCGATGTCTCAAAAGACCTTTGAGCTTTTCTCTATAGTCTAAAGAAGACCTCTATTGATTTTAAGGTCAAAAGGTTAAAGGTAAAGGTAAGAAATTCATACATTGCAAATATAATTTTCCAGATGATAGATACCTTTAATTTACTTTGAACTTTTTTCAATAAAATTTAATAGTGCACCTCCCTATGCCCTTATGAAGACCCCTATTGATTTTGCAGTTAGAGGTCAAGGTCATAAATTCATACTTCCTGGAATCTCGATAAATAGAAATCTATACATTCTCGTTTCCGAACATTATCTTGAAAAACCTTAACTTTTGCAATGAAATTTTATATCACAACTCCATATTGCCAAAAGAAGTCTCTTATTAATTATGAGGTTAAAAATCAGAGGTCAAGGTAGAAAATTCATTCATTGCAAATAACATTTTTCAGATTTCTTTTTTCTTTTTTGAGCTTCTTTCAATGAAATTAAATATTACAACTCCCTATGGCCTAAAAAAAGACCAATATTGATTTTGAGATGAAAAGGTCAGGGTAGAAATTCGTAGCACTTTCGTTTCCGAACTATGTCTTTAAAAGCTTTCAATTTTATGAATATCAAAAATTAATAAAGATTACTCTCATTTCATTTCTTCTACAAAAATTAATAATTTTTTTTTGTTTGTTAGAAAAAATGTCTTATATTCGTTCTTTTATTGCCACTGGCTTTAGCTTTATAGAATAAACAACATCACAGCCCTGGGATGGCCTCGGCCCTCCGGACTTGGGCCGATACACTGTACCATCCGCTCGGGCTGATACCAGGGTCGAGATCAAAACAGCAGTGTGATATTTTATATGAGTTAAAATCAGTCGGAACCATGATTTGAATTAAAGAGCTGTAAGAATCATTGGGTACTTTATACTTGTTCTGAATTAAAATGCTGTCTGAATCATTGCGTAGTTTATACTTAATTTGAAAGTACGTGTATATAGCGACAAACGTCTCTAATCAAAATCGTTTGTTGCTAAACTAAATAAATATCTTTTACTTACAAAATGAAAGATGGACAAAAGAAATAGAAAATGGCTGTTATAAGGTCACGAATCAACAACTTTTCTGTCATTTCACATATTATAATAATGTTCTCAAATACTAGTAAAAATATTCCTTAAACAAAACGTTCATTTATTGTCTGCAAAAAAAAAATGAATTGCTAGGTCGATTCTAAACGAAATAAAGAAAATAATTATTAATAAATAATCTTGTACCAACTTTTAACTTTTAACCTATAATTGAAGCAATTTTATTTATTTTCTTCAGATTATTGTTAAGATATGATATATAAAATATATTTACATGTAAATCTGATTTCATATATTTAAAATATCTCGGAGCATTCCAGAAGATTATAACCTCCCTAACTCTAAGGTCTTTTCACTCATAACGTATTCCCTCACAAGTCAAACATGACTAGTATAAGAAGATTTGCAACAGTTACACTTTCCTATAAATCCTGTTGGAAACTATCTAACATCTGTCCGATATTAGCGGTCATAACCAATTACATGTATTAGGGTTATCGACACTGTAATCCGACTGTGATAATCCTTTTTTTAAATAAAAACTCATGATAGGCATTTACCGTATTTTTGATTCCTGTAAATGTAATTTTCTTTTAATTTTCTGATTTGAAATGTGTCACAATGTAAAATTCAGAGTTTATAACTTATTATTTGTTTGTACATACATGTATGTTTGCTTACTCTCTTCAATTTCTTATTGCTCTGCATCGATAAGATTATTTTCAATAAGCATATAAACTTGGGCCCCATTTTGACATCATCACCGAAAAGTTATCTGACCATGTTCAAATAATTATTTATCATACTTATCAAGCCGTGCACATTTTTTTTTCAAAGTTTGTGAATATAGTCCATAATAACGCACTTTGGTAATTTGTTCAATTTTCTGCGCATGGGTACTTGAAGGAAGAAGTATTTTAGCAATATTTTCAACTTGGGCCAGACAAATTTTTTTCTCTATGAAAGGAATTTTTTAAAAGATTAAAACTTAAAACCAAAGTCTGCACTGAAATGAAAAAAAAAATGGAATCCATTTAAGGACAACAATGCTGGGATGGTTCCAATACGGATGTTATACACCTTTTGTAGAATTTTTTTTATTTCAAATCTTTGGAGTAATTTTGTATAGTGATTACATGCCTGTTTTAATTGTAATGAAATTATATTCTGCTATTGAAACAAGACAATTATAAATCTTTATAAATACATGCACAAAAAGATAATCACGACAGTGTACAGTTCAAAATATGGATCAGAAAGCTTATTTCTTTTTTAAAAATTCTGGAAAAAAATCAGACTATAATTAATACTCAAGTTAATAAAGATTGCTTTGCTGACTAATTCTTTTTTCCAATGTTTCCTTGCAAAGCCTGTAAATTCTTAAAGTCTTTTGAATGTTACGTTTGTAATCATAACAAATCACGTTTTTACTAACATTATTGATGATTATCAATAATATTAAGTATTAACATTTTTCCATCGCTTGACATTAACTGAAAGGATTCACACTATATAACCAATTTACAGGAAATTTACTAGGATTTTGATCCTTACAATTTTAATTAGTTTCACGTAGATTTTTTTTCGTACTCGTTCTTGTTGTCGTCATAAAATAGTGTACAACACTTTATAACAAAAAGAATTAAGGAATGCACATGCTATTTTCGACAATCTTTTTTATCCACATTTTTGATAGAAAAATATTCGATTTTAACATGACTTTTTAAAGGTTCTCACCAGTAAGCAAGCCGTTTCCCAACTATAAAACACATTTTCAATACCAAAATAAACGTACAGATAATAACATAGTAGTTTGAATTGTTATAAAATTCAATCCTTCACATAACTCACACTGAAATGCCATAATTCAATAACATTCCGACACTGATAATTGATCAAGTTTTGTTTTGTAGGGCATAGGGTCTGGATATACCGGAGGTGGTGTCTGTACACAGTGAGGCTTGACCATACTTAAACTTGCCCAACTGCCTCTTGCATGTAATGCAGAACGTGTCCGGAGTCTGAAAATGAGAGACAATGTGGTTTAACGAATATGTTTGTTATGCATTGCGCTTAAAAAAAATAATAAATGACGTGTAATTACCTAGCGATTTTTTTGTATATGAGGATGGAGGACACTACACTAAACACGATCAGGAAGGTGATGAGAACCGGAACTGCTGTAACCAACAGGAGATCCATCTCTTTATCTGCAGATAGAATAAATAAATTATTCATTAACTCAATCTGTGAACAATCTTAAAAGATACGATCATTTTCTTTTTACAGTTGCAAACCTTCATTTGTATACTGATTCAGATCTTGTATATGGGAGGTGGTAGATAGTATAGAAGCTGGGCTTTGTGTTGATCCTGATGTAGTTGTATACTGATTCAGGTCCTGGGTTTGAACGTTGGGAGAAGAAATAGAGGCTTGGCTTTGTGATGATGTTGGTGTAGTTGAATACTGATTCAGGTCCTGAGTTTGAGAGAAGGTAGATGAAATAGAAGCTGTGCTTTGTGAAGATGCTGTTGTGGTCACTTGCATGGTGACTGAAGTTTGTTGAGCTGATGTTGTAGTTTCAGTTGATTCAGAGAAAGCTGAGGTTGAAGTAAATTGAGAGGTACTTTTGTCTGTTGTTGAGGTTTCTTCTTTAAAATAAAAGAATTAAATATTCTTCATTTTTACATACGTCACATATTCTCTTGCAAAAATTCCATGGCTGAATGGGAATTTGATATTTACAAGCGTATAAAGATATACCTCAATGGCTCTTTCTTCGTGATTTCAATGGAGAAGTATTTTAAATCAGCATAACGGTCGAAAATTAATGATTTTGAAAACAAATTGAATCATTCAAACACAACCTTAAGGAACCGTTGTGCATGTTTTATGCTAAGTGTTGTAAGTTTCATTGGATGGTTCTTACAGTTAGTATCTTTGAGGTAAAAATACTTAATATTTTTATTAAGTACCTGAACAATCGCTTTCATTTTTGCTTCCTTCGTACTTGGTAGTAAAACCACTGAGACAAGCCTTACAGAATGTTTGCTCGGTTTCATCTTGGTATGTTCCAACCGGACACAATACACATACACTGGATTGTGAGTATGTTCCCATTGGACAATCGGCTAAAATAAATTTGAAAGAACTTCAGAAGATAGATATTAGAAAATTTGACATGTCTTTTTATCGTAAGGGTATATTTCACTTTAATCCACATTTTAAACAACAATAACACTGATATCTTTTGACAATTGCTTACATACCACAAAGAGCCTCACTTCTGCCTTGACCATCCGGGCAATCCACGAGGGAAGACGTAGAAACCGCTTTTGATGTATAATTTACACCATTGAGTTCAAATTGTAGAACACTGTGACTGCTGTTCATCTCTACAGCCGATGCCTCCAGTTCATATACTCCAAGAAGCAAATTATACAAAGGTTCGCTCACTACAAGTAAAAGTGTTCAAAAAATTGTCTAGGAAAGCCTCCTTGACATGGGGTCTGTGTTGATTTTATATATGTGAAGACCAATTCATAATAACTATCTCTACATATCAGGAAAGAATAACTTTTTTTCATTTGTCTTATATCCATATTGTGATAATTGGATTTTAGATTTATTTATTTATTTAATCTTTGCAAAAAGTTTTATTGACACTCTCCTAAAAATTTAATTTGTTTCTTGAATAGTTTTGTACACAGGTATGGCATATGGAGAAATGGTTTACAATTTATTCATGAGACTGATTGATTTATCTCATCAATATTATTAATGTATCTTGTATTCCAAGTCAGAGCAAAACCTTGATCTTTTTGCACTATTTAATGTCCTTCTACATTAAAGCATATGATAGTTTATAGGACAAAAGATTTGTTCGTGTTAAGTTAGATATGTTCGCATTTGAACAAAATTGCATGCACTGTCAACTTACAATTATCTGTGGAATAAAACATTTCTAAATTTAGATTGTCCCCAGAAATGAATGTCTGTGATAAAGTTATAGTTTGTTCCCCGGATGTCGAGCGTTTTCGACGACCAGCTGATGGAATGCAACCTAGGAAGAAATAAAAAAACAACTGTAAAAACTCAGACGATCTTAAAGTAAAATATTTCACAAGAAAGTACATGTATATGCTGTTATGCAACCTTTAACAAAAAGCATTATTGAAATTTATTGTCTTTTAGATACATATGTTCATCTTAAGAAAATACTTTATGAAAGATACAGCTAGTAGAACATAGTGTATTCATATTTCACACATTTCTCGATAACAGATTTGGACTTAAGTATCCAACACAAACCTAAGCTACATCTCATCAATGATTTTATAGTGACAAGTACCATTATCAATTGAAGGACACGTCCATTAATCCTAAACGAGAACTCATTATATGAACAGCTATCACATTCAAATATAAAGTACTGATTCGAGACAGCAATTAACCTCTTCCTGATCTAAAGGATGTTCATACAAAATACAGAACAACTCAGATTTTCTATTAAACTTAGATACTGCTACCGAACGTTTATTTTCTGTAAAGGTGGGTCTTCTATCCTCAGTATTCAGAAAAAGTATAACCTTTAACTGAGTAACTTTTTACAACACCTGTTGAAATACTGAGTAATACTCTACATTGTATGTATCGAAGCTGTAGAGAATCATTACCTGGGTTTTCCACTTTAACTGCGCATGTTCCGTTCAGTGAACACGACAACGACGACTCAAGTTTAGTTTTCATTTTTGATGCAGCCGCTGATGCTTCACTACATGGAATCTCTGGATCATAACTTATTGTTGAAAGGATAGATATTCTTCGGGGGCTCTTTGCTCCTGAATTAAAAACTGGCAGTAAGAGCGACATATATCTTTGGTGTGAAGTGCTAGATTGTCACTGACAATTTCTTCATGATTTTGAAGAATATATAAGCATACAATGAAATTAAAATTCTCTATCCCAAACTAAAATGTCAAGAATTCACAATCATTTCGTCTATTATAATGTGTTGATGTTGCTTTATCCTTCATAAAAACTGTGATGCTCTGTATACGTAGTTATTCTATACAAATATGTTCGTTTAACCTTTGTTTTTTCTGTGTAGTGTGTATGCTAAAATGAGGAAATCTGCAAAGAATGGAAAAGATAAATGTCTATATCTTTTGCCAATACTTTGTCAAAAACAATCATAACAGTAAAAACCGGATTACACCTTAATAACAGCAAGGTGCAAGGTATCTCGTGTGACCCTCTCAAACTATTTTTATGTGTCCTTATTTGGTTGCCATTCTACAAGGGGACATGGTAAATGTATCGATTAGGAAGAGAGATAGAGGCCATAGGAAGGAAGGCAATAAAATAAGTTGTTAAATTAATAATAAAATTATATAATAATATATGATTAATTGCTCTTGTGAAGTATGCATACCTTTATAACGTATATATCTAGTTTGATCCGGAATAGAATTACAGTAATTGTTAAGTAAAATGTAAATATGTAAATACAAGCAATAAGTGTCTATTTTTGTGTGTTTGAAGATGATAGTCAAAATTGGAACATGTAATAATTCTTGCAAAAGGGGTTTCCTCACTTATGCAGATTATTACTGTCATGTGCTCCAATATCAGTTGTCGTCTCATACACATCTAAAAATAGACAACTTCCTTAAATAAGGGACTCATCTTACTTCCACAGGCTGGTGGCTGACCATCCCATGTATATGTTGTATTTGGTCCACATATGTAATGTGATCGTGCGTCATTCCCATCGACAAAAGTGTAGCCATGATTGCAGGTGACAGAACATATATCGTGTCCATCATCCGTTACAGAACAATTCAGTTGATTACCAAAACTCCTCCTCAATGCACCACATTCTGTTGAAGATCAAACTGTGTTTATGTCTTTTAAATACGTCTTGTTCTAAACTTTTCTTACACGTCTAAAATTTGATTTGAACTATTTCAGACATTTGCTTTCCTGCTTCCAATTCAATTTTGCGTTGGTGTTTTGTTTGAGAACAAATAAACAAAATCTGATGTTATTTCGCTTACTTGGACATGGCTGCATGTTGCACGTTTGAGACTCGTTAGCGCTAGAAGGATCACATTGGGCACCATCCGAGTCAGGATAGGGACTATTACAAACTCTGCTCCTAGACTGGACTCCTCCACCACACGTCACAGAGCATTCCGTGAACGATGTCCATTCACTCCAACCCCCATTGACTGTAAATTGAGTTGAGTCACATGACTCTTAATTCATGTCAATAGTTCTTACATAGGAAAAGCATTTTATTTCACTGTAACTATGAAATCAATAATAAAATTTGAATTATGCAACATTATCTACCGTTAAATCTCAGTGAATTTTTATTTGAAAAATATCAGATTTTATATACAGAATACTTTTCTTGAAATATCTCTTTTATCAGAAAGTTAGGTTAGGCTATGCCCACGACAAGGATAAGAGCTTTAATGAGGTTTTTTTCAGAACCATCATTGCCTTGAAAGTTAGCAAAAAATATGTAGATTTACAATATGTTACTTTTTAAAAAAGGCTTACCTATTTCTACTTGACATCGGTCACCTTTAAATCCACTTACGCAGAAACATGTAAAATTGCTTCCGGCGTTGGAACACGTCCCTCCATTTTTGCAGGGCGATTTTGAGCAAAAGTCGGGTCGATATTGACAGTTATTTCCATGATAACCATCCGTACAGTGACAGGTGTATGAATTTACTCCGTCTTTACAAGGATGTCCATTACAGGGACTGGGACTACACTGGTTCACGTCTGAAAATAATATCATATATTTTCATTCATCCGTGCTTAATGATTCGCGTTATTTCTCGTCAGGCGATTCATTTTCGCATGACCCAACGTTAACTTTAAGACTAATTTAAACAGTATTGGTAACCGAAACAATACTTGAAAAGATGGACGTAATTGTTTAATCGATTTCTTATACGTATATAGTTCTATATGTTCAGTTTTACGTTAATTTTCCTGATCAGAGATTAACTATCTTAACAGACCAAGGAAATTTATTAAAACAAAATGACTTTAAACCCTAAAAGAAACAAACATTCTGTTTCTATCTCAGTATTGACAAGTCAATATCAAAGTATGAAAACCTTACACATTAGAATTAATTCCTAAACAGGACTTCATCTTTTATCCAAAGATATATAATACAACCAACTTTCTTGTCCTACTTTACTTTCCAAGGTAGTGTCCTTCCTGATATACTTTATTTTGACAAATAAAATATACAACATGACTATCTTTGTCAAAATAAAGTATATCAGGAAGGACAGTAGACCGAGTTCCCAATTTATGCCGAAAATGTTCTCCTAGGTGGCTTCATACACCCCATTCTGACCCCTTTTTTACTGAGTTTGCTTTACTCAATTTAGGAGCAACCTATGCCTTTGACTTTGAGGTTGAATGTCATATTTTTCGTTCAAAAAATTAAAGAAGGATGAATGACTAATAAGCTGCGTACTGTCACAAATGCTTGGAGTAACTGTGTTCATCAAATTTCTTCCACTGACGGTGTTCCTTATAGTGTCCATGGAGATGTAAGAATTCGACTCGAACGCGTGACATTCCCCGGCAAGTTGAGCAACTTCCATGTCGGATAAAACGGTTAATTTCACCTGGTAGCCAGAGATGAGGTAACCTAAAATATAAAATGTAGTCTCAATACAGTTACTCTCCTTTTTGTTAAATTGATATAAACGTACGACGTATATTCAAAGGTGCTTACCGCTGTACGAATTTTCGTTTAAACCTAAAGTAATTATCGATGATGAATCTATTAGGGTATCACCAGAGGTTATAATTGATGTTAGTGGTATCTCTTGCAGTCGAAGTCCATTTTGGAACACAACAGCTGTCTGGGTAGACGAATCAATCTGAACTGCCAAGTGGGACCAGATGTTTGAATGAAAGGCCACAGCAGATGTCACATGCAGACTATATATATATATATATATATATATATATATATATATATATATATATATATATATATATATATCCATCCATATGTCATACGTATTTCTGTTAAATTTTTATTGACAAAAATTGATATCGTATTTTGTGTACCTGTTAATTGTGATGTACAATGTATCATTGTAGGTTATATTAACTTTGAAGTTAGCTGACTCTGAAGAAAATAATGTAAAGCTAGCTGTATCGTTTGGAACAAGAATCCAGGAGGACAGTAGTATTGATCGTTGTTGTGATGAAGGGGCGTCAATTGTAATGAAATCATCCGGGGTTTTCAACTGAATGTCATAGTCTGAAATTAAAGTATAGAAAACATTACGTATTCACGTTATTTGCTTTACATTTATAATATCGACTCTAAGTTTTTAATTAGCATACATGAGCAATTATTCCCTCCTGTTGTTCCAGAGAAGTCAGTAATTTTCTCTGGTGGACACAGAGTACAATTAACCGACATCTCCTCCTCCTGGTAAGTCGATATTGGACACTGGTGACACGGTTCCAGTCCTGTGGATGAAAACTCTCCCGGTCTGCATATATCTAGAGGGATTATATGTCGTTTCATTATTGTATTAATACGCACTAAATAAACAATGATAAATGAACAGCTACATGTACGATGTAGTTAGTTTTTTTTAATAAGTTCGAAGCATTTTCACTCCTTGTATTCTTCAGGACTGTATTTTTATCAGAGCATAAGTTTATGAAAGTAAATATTCATAAAATTTGTATATTTGTACATAAAAAATTTGACCCAAATTGTATATCTTCTTAACTAAAAACATTGCCCTATGTCATTACCAATACAATCCGATGAGTTCCGAGATCCAGAGTACAATGTTGATGTTCCTACAGGGCACTTAGTGCAAGAAACATCTTCAGCTGCCTCTTTATATTTTCCGACTGGACAGTCTTTGCATCCGAGGTTATTAGGATCCGAATTGTCAAGAAATGTACCAGGTCCACAAGGTACTAAAGTAAATGATTACATGTACTTTTTATTGATATGATATTAATTAAGGTAGGATTTTTTTTTCAATTTAAATTCAGCATTGATGGGAGATATACAATATGTTTGGAATTTCAGGTTGCTTCTGTATTTACATGTACTTATTGTATTGTAAATAGGACATACCACATGTCAATGTAGACCATCGGATAGCGTGACCAACAGGACAGTCGGGGTCACTCCAACCAAGAGCAAAGCTACTGATGTCTGGAGCTAAACCTCTCACTGTCAAGTTACCAGCTGACGCAGATCCTTTAATTTCATTGAAAATTTTTTTCTGTATTTCCTCTAAAAAGTAAAATGTTGCTCCACTAGTTGAATTGAAATCAAACCAAGTTGTTTCCATGGTTATTTCCACCCTTATTTCATGTGTACTTCTTTTCTTTCGAACGAAAAAGTCTAATAAATTATCTATCCATCGCTTTTTCCGCCCTGTGATTGCCCCACAAGTAACTACTGTGTTCTTAATATTGCAATCGATCTGAGAAGGACAGACACCGCCAAATCCATTCTTTTCAAGGAAATTCATCTGATCAATGAAGTTCTGTTTAATTTCTTCGAGCACTGTAGGGTCGTTGCAGTCTCCGGTGTAGTAGAAAAAATCCCCAAGTACCGTTGTTCTGCGTGGTCTTCGTAAAGCTTGAAGACATGTACATATTAATTACGAAACAATACATTAAGATTCAGTTTGAAAATATTAAGTGATGTTAATGTTTCTTAAAAGATTTGAAATTCTGGTGTATATCACCACTAAAAATACATGTGCATCATGATGTCCCATCGAAGACAAATATGATATCAAAACATTGATGTTTTATTCTTGAAAGAATTTTATAACAAGATCATTATTTGATAGTTTACATCACTCACCTGTACATCCTGGAACTGTGTTGGATGGAGTGTATTCTCCCTTGGATTCTGAGCATGTGAACACTCCCGTGAAAGGGGCTCCATTGGAACTAACAGTACCATAAGGTATATCGTACTGACCAGAACACTGCATCTGACATTGCATTCCAAACATCCATGTATCACACACCATTGCACCGTTTTCTGGGGCAGGTAATTTGTCACAAGGGTTTTCTATAATATGAAAACTTCAAAATTGTAAACTACTTTCAAAATTACTCTTGAGATACAAACGACAATTTGTAGATATGGTGGTTTTCAACTATTGTGTTTTGGCTCATAATCTCTCCTTCATTCTTTTCCTTAATACTTACTAGAGCAAAATGGCTCAGTGCCACCCATATTCCAGTAACCACGGGGAGGAGAATAACTGTCATTCCTCTCGCACGTGATCGTGTCGTTACCAATCAGAGGAAAGCTTCCCATACATTTTAATTCACACGTGGAACCGTAACTGTACCCATCTGGGCATTGGTAAAACAGGTACTTGTCTGCAATTACTGGTGGATCACATCGAATCTCTGAAACAAGTGACCAGAATACACAGAAAATGTTTATATATATCATAAAAAAGCTAAAATACAATAAGCAGAATGAAATGAAAGTTTCTTTTATTTTATCAGTACCTTCAACATTTACAAAGAAAATACATTCTGGTGAGGTGTTTCCTGCAGCATCAGTTGCTTTGTATCTAACCTCTGTCAGTCCAAGGCGGAAACTGGAGCCACGCATTGGTCCTTTGCTTTGTGAAACTGTAGCCTGCCCTGAGTTGTCTATTGCCGTGGGTTCTGTCCAGGTTACCACGGTAGCTTGACTGTTTTTATCCGTGTAAGTGTGTACATTACTCGGACAATTAGAAATTTCAGGAGACTCACTGTCTGTATGTTCATAAAAATATACAAGTGAAAAGTTGTCCCTTATTTTTACGTGCATCATGAAATTTCAGGGGAGGACATTGTAAAGATTTAGAGTAAGCTTACCTTTACAATCTGGTAGATCCGTGGACCAAGTCGTGTCCTCTTGGCAGGTAGAAAATATGATGCCGGAAGTCTGGCTGTATCCACTGATACATTGTGTTACACAGGAACTGTCGTATTTGTGGTTGCTATGGGTACACACAGCAGCGCCGTTTAAGGGTTCAAGAGCCGATGAATTGGCAGCACATGTTATTTCTGAATATTTAAAAAAAGGTCGTATGGTTCTGATGGATCAGTTTTATTCATTGTTCATGATTTATTTTTTTTAATATTTTTACCTTTACAAGTTGGTATTGCTTTATTCAAAATTGGTTTGTTGTCGACCGTTTTGTCGCACATGATACGATCAGGATCTACGGCGACAGAAGATACCATCTGGTAGCCTTGGTTACAGCCAATAGTACAGTAGCTCCCATATATATAAACAGGTTTATCACATCTTACAAATCCGTTGATTGGCCATTGAATTGGATCACATGCAATAACTTGGAAACAAAATAGGCATAATAAAAGAAAATATGAAATGCATTTCTTATTTATTTACTACTATTAAATGAGTTTTTAATACATAAAAAAGAAAATAACTGAACTCAGATAACTTATAAAGAGACTTCATCGACTAAACATTTCCAGTTATTTATTTCAATCAACGTAACAGTAACTTTCATTATATTTTCTGAAAAATATGGTATATTATTACGTTCACACACCTGAGACTTTGAAAGTGAAATGGCAATAAGCAGTTAATCCATTTTTGTCGGAGGCTTTGTATATAATTGTATGAGTTCCACGTTCAAATAGACTATCGTGAGTATTACCTTGTACCAAATTTGCTCTGAAATCATAAAACAAGTAACCTTTTATAAAGAACTGAAGGAAAGTGTTTAAAAGTCATCAAATATGGAAAAGTTTACTTTTAGATTATATAGTAGTTTCTCGAAAATATTTACAGAAACCATTCTTAAAGCTTAGGCTTAATGGAAACTCCCTTATTTGGAGACATTTTTTCGTTTGTGTTTAGTAAGCTCTATCCTGATGCAAAAATGTATTCATATCTTTTCAGATCTAATTGGTTAGTACTTCATCCTCTTTACATTTCATAGAAATTTAATAAAATCTGTCCAAATAAATGAGACAAACCCAACCGCAACAAAAAAAAAACGCTATTGTGGAAGTATAAAAGAAGTACATAAATGTACACCAAAAAAATGTATCGTGTCTTTTTGATAGCGGTCATTTAGGCGAGGAAAGGAGGGGGAGGGGGTTACAAGTTTGGAACATTTCTTTTAGTTTATTATAAAACTGTCTACTATTGTCTAGTATTACTTCTTAGGTCCGTACAAACAGCCAGATCGTGTAGAAAATACTTCTTTGCGTAACTAGAGAACATTTAAGTGTGATTAATAGGGATAAATAATTAACCATTCCGGACTCCTGAATCAGGACATGAAATTGAAAAAAATAGAATTTTCAGGAGAGATAGTGACAAACTCAAAAGACCATGTTTTACAATTTTTAACTCTTACATGACATAAGAAACTAGAAAGTTTTAAGAACATATTTCTAATCTCTTTGATTTATTCAATAATTCAAACAAAAGAAAATGATATCATTGATTACTTACATTAGTGCTCCGTCCTCTCGATCTACTGCGCTTGGTACACTCCACGTTACAGATACACTTGTCTGACCCATTGGTGCAATCTGGTCTGGAGGGCCAGAACAAGAAGTAAAATACGGAGGATTGTTTGGTGGGGGACCACCTTTGCAGAAAAAGAAACAAACAATCTTTCCTATAAAACTAACACCTTTAGAAATCACCTTTCCGACCGTGGACACGACCTTTGACACAACTCTTGACACACCTCTGGTTATACGTCTTACCGCTCTTCTTATTCTGAAACCTCTTTTTACCACATGATGGGTTGAAGTTTTATTTGTATCTGTAATAGTTAAAGTAAGATGTTAATTCTTCAGTATCTTCCCTTTCAGTTTGAATTCAATTTATTTCAGATGAAAAAAGCCACTAGATCAGTTATCATTTCTGAACACTAAACATTATGAATTTAAAATGCAAAGTGCTTTTATGCCCGGGAAAAAATATTATATCCAAAAGACTTCAATAAAATATACTGTACCTTTAAGTGATTCTCTGATGTTCACATGAATGTTGGGATGTTCTTCCCTAACATATGTGGTAAGACTCTGTAACTGTCAGGGACAGAATCCGAAAGAAAGCATAATAAAATCTAATCAAAAACCCTTCTTTATTTATTATAATTGATTGTTTTTAAATATCTTTTCTTATCTCTTTTTTAAAAACTCTCGTTTTCCTTATTCAGTAGATTTTTATAACCCGTACCTCTTTCCCTTCAACAATACTATCATCCAAACATCCTAGAATTGTTATCAGTACAGTTATCCCGAAATGTACATGGATGCATCGCATGTTGTTAAATTATACGTTTAGCTTTTGACCAAAAATTAATTCTGCAAATATATTGAAGACATTAAGCATAAAAGATATTTTTTCAGAGGTTATATCGATGTTTAGACCAATCAAATAATACTTCCGCCCTGAAGGATTAAAGTTTTTGCTGACATTTTAGTTCCATGCAGGTGAAGTTTAAGTTTTACACGGGATTGGATGTTGTAGCATTTGGTTATTTAAATTCATTATAAATAGTTAATCCGAAGAATGAACAAGTACAAACAAGTTTGATCGACAAACTACAGAAACAGTTAGTACATGTACTTTTATAACTTTTGATCTCTATGAATAACTTCGAAAAGTTGAATCTTACTACTGGTATTTCCAAGTTATCGCCAATTTCTCAAAATAAGCATGGTACACCATTCTGGTAAATATAGCATTATGAAGTTTTTCAATTCAATTTAATGCGTTAAAATCATAAAGAGTATTAATTGATATGTAAAGTTATCGACTTCTCTTTTAAACCATTTCATTTGAATAGTACTAACACGTTCCTCGTTTGTGATTATTATCTAGTTTTAAGATATTGTGAAGAAGTGTTTCTTTAATTTGATAAGGAATGTGTTTGAATTCCACTAAATTAACTTGTATATATATAAATTAAACAGAATGCATAATTCAAAAATTTGAAAAAATTCAAGGCGCTAATGACTGAATACTCATACGAGTAGTAGCTACATATCAAGTATGTGTGTGGACAGAGAGAGTGGCATTGTGGTGGACATTAAAGCTTAGTCTCTTAATGTGTATTTCATCGAGTTTTCTTCTAATTACCATTTACATTAATAAGTATTTTTTTTCTCATGGAGGCTGATAATAATTCGGAGAATATTAAAACAGATATCCGTCGTTGCAATCAAGATGATACGGAGATGCTTCTTTTTATTATATAATTACATTTTTTTGGTTCATTTTCATTTTAATTTTTTCCTAAACATTTTTTCAATAAATTCAAATACACTTTTGGAGATTTACATCTTTATATCTAGAATACATTTCAAAGATGATCTTTTGTGATTCTCTTTTTCTAAGTTGCTAAGTCAAGTATTTTTCAACTTAGAATTATTTCAAGTACTTTTAATCGAATATTAAGTTTCAATTCAAAAATTCTATAATAATTGCTTATGATTTTCAATTGCATAATTTTCGGATACGTACATAAGCATTTAAATATCAACAGGGTTTTCCATCCTAAAAGATAGTATTAAGAACGGAAAGTTTTTGTCCTTTGTCTTTTTTTTTCAAATTGTTTAAATTGTTGGATGACTTCCAGCTTCCTGGTTCAGAACCCCAGGTTCTTAGACTCTAGTAACCAATGGCCTACTTTTTTTCCTTCAACTACTAGACGTGTAGAATGTTTACCTTTTGATATATTCAGAGTCTTCCAACACTATAATCATCATTATATTCCTTAAAACCTAAAAAAAAAAAAATATATCACAACTATGGAAGTCGCATAGCGAATATATTACATTGTCAATTAAGAATGCTTCAAATCTCATGGCTTATTTATTTAATCATTTTTTAAAAGAAAATCAAAGTTGTGATATGTGTGGAAGTAGCTCTGAAACTGCATTTCACTTTTTCACGACGTGTCCAAAATACTGTGTGCAGAGACAAAACCTTATTTAAAGTTTTCATAATTTACAATTATCTTTGCTTTTATCTTTAAAACTTATTTTGAATTGAGACAAATCACTTAATTACAACCAGAATGTTGTAGTATATAGAACTGACTGTCCATGAATTTATTTTTATTTTATTTATTTTATTTATTTATTTATTTATTTATTTATTTATTGTTCTATTTAAAGTGTTCAAATTACAGAACCAACATCCATATTTATGTGTTTTTGTTTTTTTTTTGTTTTTTTTTTAATCATACATGTACCTCTAATCTTCTTATCAATATGACTTCGATCTCTGAGACTCAGAGGGCCTTTATAGGCAGAGAGCCTGCTGCCCAATCCCAGTATGTATGTAACATACATATAATTTACTAGTAATATGAATTATACATAAAAATAGTTTAAATTATGGGCCTTTGCTCTCTGTCTCTCTCTCTTTCTCTCGCTCTCTCTCTCTCCTTTTTCTGGCAAATAAAGTTTACATGCCATCGCGAATTTATTCAACAAATTACTAGTAGTTGTAGTAAAATTCAGAAGCATTAAATTTTATAATGGTGAGGTAATGTACAAAAAATCTAATATCAATCCTAATAGAGCTCAATACGGTTTGACACCTGGCCAGTTGCAAAAAAGATTTTAAAAAAAATTAAAGAGAAATATTATAGATAATAAACGAGAAAGTATATAATTCAAGAAGAAATATTGCACAGAAACTGTGCAGTTACTTTTTTCATAAATTAACAGCATTTCCTTATAAATCACAGAGTGAATTTTGTTATTGGACCTATATAGTTCGTGTTATCAATCTTGAAATTAAACTTCGACATTTCAGTATTTTCAAGTGACCATCGTCACACCTCGTTGACCGGTATAATTTTTACGGAGAACTTAGGCCTCATAATGATAAATGTGAATGGTAAAATTGAAGAAAGGCCAATTTCTTTCCTTTTTTATCCTTGGATGTGATTGATACTTTTATCAATTCTTTCACATTATAATTGTAGGGCATGAAACTGCAAAGTCAGGGTTTTATCGGTATGTCAAAAATGTCTTAATATTTTTTCTCTTTAAATCATCCTTATTTTGATGACAACATTACCTGTTTAAATGAAAGGTTTCTTTAACTATACAAAGAAGGTTTTATGAAATACTTACCTTTTTTCAAAAGAAAACATTAAATTAACTATTGTGCTTCTCGACATCGAACTGGAGCCTCCTTTCAGTAAAAAGCAAAATCTTCCTTTGCCTTTTTTTTAAAAATTAGATTCTGGGACCTCCTGAAGATGTGCACGTGAAGAAATAATGATCCGCGTTCCACAGATCACAGAGTGACAAACTAAAGTACATGTCTACCAATCTGTAGCTATTTCGTCAAGTGCTACATGTAAGCAGTATTACAAATTTAAAATGATTAATTAATTTTCAAAGCATATTTCACACAAGATAATGCGGATGCTGTATGGTATGCCTGGATGGATGTTAAGATAAAAAAAAATACATAATGATACTAAGTAATGGTAAAAAAATGCCTATACTGAATACTCACATTTACATCTACGAGTGAGCTGGACAAAATAAATTATAATTAGGACTTAATTTCTTTATCAGATGTATACCTGTCAGATGTTAGATATTGTGGTAGAAACATTTTTACCCCCTCATCCTACCACTCAAATAGCGTGTGCACTTTACAAAAAGATTTAATCATTTTTTAAGAAACTTTTTCAGAATGGATTAAATGTATCAGATGTATGTTAAAATCTCGCATAAAGCAATTCAGGGGCAATATGAAAACCATCTATCCTTCTGTGTTCAATAATTCAGAAATGAAAGAGGAATAAGATAGACTACAAGATCAGTATATACTGGTCCCAGTTGACAAAGCAGGTAACAACATTGTCTTTGTTTGTAAGGCTCGTTATTTTAATTGTACTGGGATTTATTACTACAAGTGGCAATCCAACTTATACCCATAGATCCCTTTCTTAGGAGGAAATTCTTCAAAATCATATGTCTGTTTTGAATATTTTCAATATTCCCAACAACCAAAATGAATTTGAATTACCATATTTATATTGGATTCCAAGCTTCATAAAAATCCTTACAAAAAAATTCAAAGCGGGTTCCAGTAAATGTTCTACCAAGCCTGTTTCTTTACTCCTCACTAAAATATTAACACCAGTAAAGAAAAAACTTCAGGAGTACTGTGCAACAATTTATTCGAGAAGTGATGTAAATCAAATGTGGATACTAAAAATTCCAAGGAATTTTTGGAAAATTTGAAATCACAAAATTTTACCAAAATCAATAGCATAAAAAACTTACGACTTTTCAACTCTATATACAACCATTCCCAAGACGAATTAAAGTCCAGGCTTTTTGACATCAATGACAGCTGTTTTTTTCAATAAAAATGGAACTCGTAAATTTACTAACCTTGTCATTGGTCATTTGCAAAATTATTTTGTTAAAAACATTCTGATTGTACACACAAGTACTCTGAAGTTGATATTAAAAAGATGCTTGAGTTTCTGATTGATAAAATCTATGTGGTTTTTGGAGACCAGGTCTTCCAACAATTTGTTGGAATGCCCATGTGTAACAATTGCGCCCCGTTATTAGCAGACCTATTTTTGTATTCATATGAAGCAGAATCTATTCAAAATCTTATGCATGAGAAAAAGAAAACTCTTGCTGTGGCCTTCAAATCGACATTTAGATATATCGACGACGTATTATCAATTAACAACAGTTATTTCCATTTATATGTCGACGATATATCCCAGTAAACTTGAAATAAAAGACTCCACAGAGTCTGACACATCTGTTTCATATCTGGATATTTTACTAGAAAAAGATGTTAATGGTAATCTAACAACAAAGCTTTATAATAAACGTGCTGACTTCAACTTTTCAATCGTCAACTCCCATTACTTATGCAGCAATATACCCTCATCACCTGCATATGGGGTTTATATCTCTCAGTTTATTCGATATGCAAGAGCATGCTCTACGTATGAACAATTTCTAAAACGAGGTAAATTATTGACAAACAAGTTGATGAAACAAGAATATCAACAGTCTTTTTTAAAATCATCAATTTGTAAGTTCTATGGTCCATACAATGACCTTTTCAGCAAATACAATCCATCGTTAAGTCGAATGCCGACTGAAGTTTTTCATACTAATTGTTAGGCCATTATTTACCCATTGAATAATCGACTGATTTTCCCGTTATTTCCCGATCATGTACACGGCGGGTGTGACCGGTCAGCAGGGGATGCTCACTCCTGTATGGCACCTAATCCCACCGCTGATGTTTTAGAGGTCCGTGTTTGCTCTGGTCCTGATTTGTATTGTTTGAATGGACTTTTGAGCTCGAATACTGTTCGTTATCTACATATATTTCATGGTAAAGATTATTATATCCTGAGAAACCTTTAACTTTGAATTCAGTTCTTAATTTTTTTTTTATTTTATACACGCATACTCTCTCTCTCTCTCTCTCTCTCTCTCTCTCTCTCTCTCTCAAACACCCCTCACACCCACCATAGATATATATATATATATATATATATATATATATATATATATATATATATATATATATATATATATATATATAGATATATATATAGATATATATATATATATATATATATATATATATATATATATATATACTTTTTCTTTTTTCAAACCTCGATGACATTTACATCTGCATTAAAATCCACTGTAATTGAAGTGGAAGGTAAGATTGAGACTAACTGTTTTTCTCCTTTTATTTGTTTCCATTGGTGATATTTAAAACACAATCCCAGTGATTTGAGACACAAATGTTCACTGAGTTTTTTTTTAATAAGTATGTATGAATTTAAGATTAATAAAGGTTTGTAAGGTTTTATAAATAATGAGTAGGATTTCAAACTTTACTTATCGTAAGGAAATGGGAATTCCCCTATCTAGTGCCCAGACATGTATGCTCTTGCAGTTATACATGTAATCGTTTTTTGACACGTATTTTTTTTTAAGTTAACGCTTGTTTTTGTTGATATTTTGAATATAATTAACAATAATGATATAATATTATATTATAATTGAAGATAATGCTTGTCTTGGCTTATACCGGTATTGTATGTGGTGTCTTGCATTTCTTTAATCGGTTCTGTGTTTGGGGAAATTCCCATTAAAATATCGAACACTTTAAGATGAAGTTTAAAGGTCTATATACACAGGAGATTTTTTTTAAAAGTCTATGTAGGGCAGGAAGTTCAATTGCTGTGATTAATATACAATTTTAACTTTTGAAAATAAATTATTGTCCATTTGGAATTAGAGATTTGATGTGTATCATTGAGAAAAATGACCACGATGTCGAAAAACACTTGTTTGCTGATAATGTTGTTATTGTCCACCGTTAGTTTTAGTTTGGCTTTAAAGGTATGTAAACTCTCTCTCTCTCTCTCTCTCTCTCTCTCTGTACATACTAGTACCGTATTTCTGCTTTTGTATTTTTCATGCATAGTTATTATTTTTTTTCGTAAATAAATTCTCCTAATGTTGTTATTATTATACAGAGAGAAAACAGTACTTGCCAGGTCTCAGACTTGGAGCCAGGGCGCCTACTGTCTTGTTCTGATGAAAACAATATTCCAGTTTCTGTTGTATCAGAGGTACCTAGCGGATCCTCATGCAAAATGATATGTCCTTATAAGGAAGTGGAGGCCTGGGTCACGTGTGACGACGGACTCTGGAATGACTACTACATCCAATGTATGTCTTTCTGTCAATATAAGCAAGTCCATGGACTAATACTAGTAAGAAAAAACAAAATTTGCTTTTAAAATAGAGACACTTTAGCAGATAACTTGTTCTTTTAAAAGATTGCAAAGAATCCATACCAACAAAGCGTGCACACGTAATCAAAAAACGGGGTTGGAGAGTGAGAATTCGAGTCCGGCGTTTTGTAAGAAAAATTGGATGCCTTTTTTCCCGGTGTAAACCACGTAAGTATACGGAGATGAATCTTACACTTAATCATCTGACTTTGAAGTTCCTTGTAAAGAGAAGGATTTTATGTTTAAGATAGTATACACTTATCCACTGTTATATTTAAAATAGTATACACTTATCCACTGTAATGTTTAAGATAGAATACACTTATCTACTATTATGTTTAAGAGAGTATACAATTATCCACTGTTATGTTTAAGATAATATACACTTATCCATTGTTATGTTTAAGAGAGTATACACTTATCCACTGTTATGTTTAAGATAGAATACACTTATTCACTGCCTAAGAGTAGGATAGTCCTTTTTTCAAACCCGGAACATGAACTTTTTCACGATTGACGAAAGAACCAACCAATTCACAGCCAGAGGATAGGCATTTTACTAATACTGATGCATATATATTTCCAAAGGGGTTAGATAGCACTTTTTATATCCTGGGGTATCTGCTCTGTGAAATTCTTCAGTGTTAGAGAAACTGCTAATCAATCATATTACAGGAAATCAAATTTGGGGTCAAATTTTTAATGAAAATTTTCTGAGAGGTGGATAACACATTTTTATACCCCGGGTATGCATTAGTTAAAAATTTCAGACTATAGGAAAATAGTTATTTAACCTCCTAAACTTTATATAGTAAACAATTTATAATAATTGTCATCATTCCGTATTTAAGGTGATACTACTGCACCAAGTTTAATATGCCCCCCAGATCAGCATGTGAAAGCAGAGAAATTACAAACCTGGAAAAGGGTCTATTGGGCGGAACCCACTGCAAATGATGGTAGAGATGGGGCCATAAAGTAAGATTTGTTTTAGATTTGAAAGGAAGCTGCTGCTGCATATACTTCCTTAAAAAATGATTAGTTTTACCTTTACACTCGTTGAATTTAGGCCAACACGTAATGGCAAGGGACCAGGAAGCTACTTTTCCGGTAGGAATATTATCGGATACTATGCACGTGACAAGAGTGGAAACATGGCCCGATGTGTCTTTACTGTGACAGTTACAGGTTAGTTTATCTTAAAATAAAAATACTGACTAAAAGGAATAACCTAATAAAAGTGAATTTGAATATCTATCCGATTTGACCCTTAAATAAATTTTTTAAAATCAATTTTTAATGAATTTTGATATCCTATCCATTTTTTCCAACAGTTAAGAGATGTCCAAAGCACAATCCTATTAGTAATGGATATTTCCAGTGTCATCCTAGTAATGATCCGAGATATGGTGCAACGTGTAAATTCGGGTGTTATCGGGGTTTTTCGCTCATCGGAAACACACAACTGGATTGTTTATATACTGAGTCATGGAACTATCCGACTCCACATTGTCAAAGTAAACTTTCTTTCTTACTATTGCTTAATGTGCTTCATAACTCTCAAACAATTACTCAAGCTTTTGGTTTCCCCAAAATGTTACGAAAACACCAAAATCTTTGACACTGGACTTGAGCTTTGTTGTAGCATTTTTTCGATATTACCAAGAAAAAAAACATTGAAGTTAAGAATGCACTTGAAAAATATACATGTACATGAATAAGGTTAGACAGATTATGATGATTCAAGGAAAAATCATTTCAAAAGGAAGAAACAGGTTCAAAATAAATGTTATAAAAAGTAACTATCCTTTTCCCCCTGAACTTTTGTTTCTGGGTATCTAATTCAGTATATGAAAAGACACCCGACAACCTCATCTTCCAATAACTAAAGATTAAGTTACTTGAGTTATTAAAGAATAACGTATGAGAAGCTTAGGGAATCTATATTTCTTTATAGACTTTATTCCCCTTTATTTTTCAGTCTGTCTCACCAACACATTTATTTTTATATATGCTTTATATATTTTTTTTTCTTCGTTTTTATAGAAAAAACATGCCCCACTCTCTCTCCGTCTGTAGGCAATTTAAACTATTCCTGTACTGACGGTAACAAATATCGCAGCATCTGTACATATTCTTGCGCCAAGGGATATGACATCACTCCTGGTATGTCACGTGTTCGTGTTTGTACAGCCAATGGAAAGTGGAGAAGTGAAGAACCTACATGTATAGGTAAAGTCCCTTGATGCTTGCCTGGTACAAGTAAAGTATTACTTTTTTATTTTATGTAAATTTTGACTTTTTACTTGGTAATTTAACTTTCATTTTTTAGACATCGAACCTCCAGAAATTCAGCAATGTGAACCTATAGTTTATGCATTTGCCGATAGGAATTCGACTTACGGTGTTGCTACGTGGAAGGAGCCAATTGCCATTGACAATCACGACAAAAACGTCACGGTTTCGAAAGAAGGGAATATCTCTCCAGGTGATAGGATACCTGCTGGCAATTACAAAGTTACTTACAGGGCCAGAGACAAATCTGGGAACAACGCTTCTGTGTGCACAACCAATATCATAATGAAAGGCATGTATATTTATACCTTAAAAGAAAATCACATAATCCTTAATCAATAAAAATTTCAATTTTAAAACGTATTCTTCTTAAATCGGTACAGTTCTAACATGCCCAACTGTGTATCCGACGCCTTTTCTGAGTGTAACGTGTCCCCAGGGATCGAAATACGGTGGTCAGTGTGAGTTTAACTGTGACCCTGGCTCTATTCGAAACGGATCTCAGATTGCTGTCTGTGAGATGAGTACAATTGGTAACTATGGATATTGGACCTGGGGTGATAGGCAACCATTTTGTCAAGGTTTGTTGCTGTCTCATTTAGTTAAAAAATGCATTCTATATTCGATAGCAAACCGAAAATATCATGTTTCTGTTCTTTGTGACAGTTATACAGAACTGCAAACGCAAACCAAACGAGCCTAAAAATGGTGCTGTTGCTTGTGACTACTGGCTGGGTGGAAAGTTTTGTCAAATGCTTTGTAAAAGTGGATATGATGTCAGCCGAGGTTCTCATTTTTACGACATGATTGTTTGTGGCGATAGTGGCGAGTGGCTTCCAGCAGGCGCGCTTCCACTTCCAGACTGCGCTGGTAAATGAATGTAACATTGATCAGTTTTGGGTATTCTTTTCATTCTTACACGGTACGTGTTGGCCTATTCTAAGTTGTCGATGACCATGTTTTCAGAGAATCGTAAGGCAAAGAGAGGAATTTTACGAATGTCTGTAACATATTATTTCAATGGAGACTGTACAGATTCTGCTGTCCAAGAAGAAATCAAAAGAAAATTCATCGCAACATTAAAATATTCAAATTTCAAAGACGCCTGTGAAATACACGCAACAGAGTGCAGAGTGGAAAATGTTCAGGTTGTTTTCTCCGTTTATTTCACTCTATTCGAATTTTTCACATTTAAAGCGATTACATACTCGTAGCTTATTTTATGTTTCCAGCTAAGAATGCTGCTTTTAACAAATATCTTTATTTGATTAATTTGATTTATTATCATACAATTCAAATATGAGCCCACAGTAATTCGATTAGTTTGTGAATGCTATGAAGTCTGGTCTTTTGAAATGTTTGGATGACATTTACAGGTGAAATGTGGAGCAAACGGACGAAAACGATCTGCTGAGCTAAGACTGGACTTTGATGTTGCTGCTTATTTCGACAGTTCAAATTTTTCTGTCTCGTTCGCACAACTAAGACGCCATCAATCTGACATAACAGACAAATTAAAAGACGATAAATTGTCCGGTTCTCTTGATTTCAATGTCACCTCCAGTGGAATCATGGAAGCACAAGATATTGGAAATTATGATCTTGTACTTGATTGTCCAGAGAAAACTGTTCCATCTTACAAAACTGTAGCGTGTGGTAATTGAATCGTCAGAATATTTTCAAAGCAAACTCTGTTAAAAGTAAAATGATTGTGGACTGTTAACTGAGTAATTGAGCAAATAATATATTTTTTTCCTTTATACCAGTAGAATAAAACAGTTTCAATTATTTTTAATTATTTATTTAAAACATTTGTATCTACACACGTATATGTAAATGCCTAAACATGCAACTTTTTTAGTTGAATGTGCAGCCGGTACGTATTATGATGTTACCACAGAAACTTGTCCGATGTGTCCACGGGGTACATACCAGAAATTAAGTGGTCAAGATCACTGTGTCAAATGTCCAGCTGGTCAGACGACAGAAGCAATAGGGGGACAGCTTCTATCGCACTGTAAACGTACGCTTCTAACTTACGACTATTTACATGAAATACTTGTATGTAAAGTTTTATAAAACAATATATTTGAAATGTACTTAAGCCGGTAAGTTCTGTTTCTAATCTAGAAATGACAGATAACGTATTCACATCATATTTAATTGTATTTATCTTTTTTGTTAAAGCTGGTTGTGAACCTGGTTCATGGTCCCCTGATGGGACCCCAGAATGTTCCCTGTGTCCGGTCGGGACCTACTCGGATCAATATGGGTCAATCCAATGTACGGTGTGCCCAGGATCAACTACAACAGTAGAGGAAGGCTCAACAGGATTGTCAAAATGTCAAGGTTTGTATTCTTGACCTACTTGTAGTGCTACCATATTCTACAAAAGAGTTGTGAAAATCATTATATCAGTCATAATATTTTCCTTTTTTAAAGAATTTGATCTGCAACTTACGGACAGCAACCAAGTGGTATCCATAGAATTTGATACAGAGAAGAACACCAATCGCTTTGTAGTTTCTGTTTGGACAAAATATGAACAATCTGTGAACAACCTTGATATCAGCCTCTCTGCAAAAAATGGAGCAAAAATTTTGCAAATTACAATCGGCACTACTATAAGAGTTAGCAATTACAGGTAATAAATGAAGTGTCATACTAAATAGCATAGACAGATGTAAAGAATGCAACTTTAATTTATATTTCTTTATTTGAAATGTTTATCATTTTTTTTTAGTCGAATGATCGAAACAAGCACACAGATTAGCACTGACAAGTGGCATTCTGTAGTACTGGTGGTGGATGGCGGCAGTACAGAACTGTATATAGATAGCCAAAAAAGTGGAAACACAGGGCTTGATTTTGAACTGCCAACAAATATTGTGCTGGGTTTAAAAGGTTATAAATTGCTACATAGTGATATATTTAATTTTGCAAAACTTTGTGTTCATTGTTGTAATCTTATTTGTGTGTTTGTATGAAGGGAGGGGGGTGTATTAAGATAAGGATATAATTTGCGAATATGTGAATAACTTTTCAGGTAAAGCCATTGTCTCGCAGTTAAACATATGGAATTACAACCTAACATCTCTCACTGCCATTCTTGCTATGGCAAAAAAATGTTTCAACAACGGCCACGGCGACATTTTCCACTGGAAGGCATTCGAGAATGTGTCAGATGATAACACTTTCAAGCAAATACCAAGCGAATGCGATGGTAAGCATTTATCTCCTCCTACACCTCTAATTAAAGTTGACCTGTACCAAAATCTTCATGATACCCTGCAAATTACAGATACTGATGCCTGTCTAACAAACCCGTGCCAGAATGGTCAGTGTGTGGACGGAAGGACCGGATATAGTTGTGATTGTTATTATGGTTTCCATGGTGACAACTGTGAAGAGAACGTGGATGACTGTGTAGACCATGCATGTGAGAATAATGCCACCTGTATAGATGGCGCTGCGGAATATACTTGTCAGTGTGGATATGGCTATAAAGGAGAACTGTGTGAAACAGTCATGGGTAATTGCTTATTTTTAACTATTCTATGTATTTATGATCCTACAGCAGAAAATTTTAATATATACAAGTAAGTTCTGTATTATCAATGAGTTCTTGAAATACACTTGTCAGTTGATGGATCATGGGGGAACTGGGGTGAATGGTCGTCATGTTCTGTGACTTGTGGAAATGGAACACAACAGAGGGCGAGAGACTGTGACGACCCAGCTCCTGATAACGGGGGGCTGGAATGTCTTGGCAAAAGCATAGAAAATAGGAATTGTAGCCAACAAGAGTGTCCTGGTGGGTTAAATCATTCTTACATGCTATGTCATATTATACGAAGTAATTATTGATTTTATTAAATTTATTAAATTTTTTGTTCATTACGTTTTACAGAGTGTAACATGTTAGACAAACTGGACCATGCGATCTGGGTATGTAGTAATGACAGTGGGGGTATTAACTGCACAGTTGATTGTGAAGATGGATATGAATTCGACCATGATATTAAACCTTTTTACTATTGTGGAAGAGAAACATTCTATCTTTGGGACTTTCAGACCGACGATAACCCCAATGGCAAAACGCCTTACTGTTCTGGTAATTACGTTGAATTTATGAAAAAAAAAATTCTAAGATACTGCTTTATTTTGAAATGTTTTTTTTATTTTGTTTATTTTTTATTTAGAAATAAGACCAAGTACCAAAATGCAGATCAGCTATACCGCATCGTACAAAGATCTTCAATGCGATACGTCAAACTTGTACAGCGAAACTAACGCCAAGGTTCCGGAGACGGTTCAGCGAGACCTTAGCAAAGTGAACTGTATTGCAACAGGTGTCTGTTTTCTTAACAATATAGCAGTAACTGGATGTAGTCGGAGGACAAAAAGATCAGCTGCAACTACTAGTGCAGGATTCCAGGTCTCTTTAACATGTGACTCAAACGTCCGTAAGTAGAAGGTCAACATTTTCCTGTTGAATTTTGATCACTTTAATCCCCGTGAATAAATTAGCTCGATCTCTTTATTAGATGGGTCTGAGGAGTGTTACACAGCCTTGTATATGTCAGTTGATGATTTGCAGTCTTTGGCTTGGAATGATTCGTTCGACACAACAGTTCAGGGATCAGTGTACAAGATCGATCAAGCAAGCACCGATGCCACTAGCTCTGTCAACTGTCCTACTGGCTCAGTGTCGGTTAAATTTTATTGTGGTAACTACTTTTATTATATGAATGAATTACTTAAAGTAATAATTTGTAAATATTTTTCTTATTGTACCGATATTTTTAACATACAGTTCCTTGTGGTCCTGGTCGATATTTTAACAAAGATGAATGTCTCAAGTGTGATTTTGGGACGTATCAGGATCGCTCAGGACAACTCTCGTGTAAAGAATGCCCATATGATACTACCACCCCTGGCAGAGAGTCAAGAAGCTCCACAGAATGTTCTGTCAAACTTCAAACTTCAAAAAATGGTAAATATATTTCTAATACTAAGCTTGCATTCGGTACAGAGCTTCGTTTTTATGCATACAAAATATTATAGGTTCCTGTTCCAAGTTTAATGAAGTGTTCATATGCTTGTTATTTCAGACACAGTATATATATCCATTAGCATTCTATCTGCGTTACTTTTAAGTGTTGTCATAGCAATGACTGTTCTTTTCGTTAGACGACAGTTGTAAGTATTGGTTTTTATTGTAGGATAACTAACATAACTTTTGTGTATTTTTGGTTTGTTAATTCTGTCTATTCTACAAGCTTAATTAATGATAGTTAAGTGTTCAAGTATGAAAGTTTTTATCAAAAGAATTGACTGATTGATAACTGCCTTTAATTATTAGCTGTGTTTCTCTGCGAGGAAAAGAAATGATTATTGAAGCACAAAAAGGTTTCCATCTCAGGCAGACCAAGCCAACAATAGAACAAAGGTTTTTCCTTATTATTTAAATTTAATTAAACACGTTTCTTCATGTTTGATAATTGATATTATCATGTTTATTTAAAAATTCATATGTTGCTAATCAGATATATTATTCTGCACCCATTGTGTCAAATACTTTACTTAAAAGAAATATTTGAAAGACCATGCATAAATATGTATAGAAATACGCATAGTAATTATTAATAAACCATTTGTTTAGAGAGAAAATTGACACTGGGAAACCAACCAAGTCGGATACTTCACTGTCTGTTTTAGATTGTCCTATAGTTGATGGAGACATCGAGGTTATATACCTGAAACACTGACATGGTGATGGAGATTGTTACTTTATTTTGAGTGTTGTACACTTTGTTATTTTGAGTGTTGTACACTTTGTTATTATGAATATTGAACAATATTAAAGGAAAATTAAATCGAGTTAAGTTATCTTTACATATTAGTTTCTGTCGGCATTGGTTATGTTGTATATTGTATACGATCTGAGGCAGTGCAATGATTCACTAAGTTGCGTATGTATATGACCTTTCTTGACAATAAAAAAATGAGTGAATGTGTTTAAACTTGTTATGCTTTCTAAAACAAATTTCGTTTAACAAAAAATATATATATATATATGCATATTGCATATCGTGTATATTGGTTTGTAATTTAATGAAAATTTAGTATTTTGTTGCGGGTGATCTAAACACCCCTATTCAAAAAAGAATGTGGTGATGCACTGGAGTTCCAATTGCAACATAAGATTTTCTCAATAAATCAAGTACATGTACAAGGTTGTGTGTGAAATCATCACATTTATTCCTCATCTAATCCTGTAAGGGTTTTTTTTTGCGCGTGACACTCGTAGAAAATAATATGTATTAGTAGGTGTGATCATGATGCATTGCTGCTATGAACTTTTTTCTTCATAAAATTGTACACTTGTACTGTTTCGAAATGAAAATTCTATACCCACAACTAATAACATGAACGCTTAAGAAATGAATTAATAAACACTACTCTTCATCTTAATCAGCAAACTATAATAGACACTCATCTTTTATTATGTGGAATCGAATCTTCGTCTATGATGCAAATATTTTTTTTTTGTAGTGTGTGCAAATATTTATTTGAGAATCAGATAGATTCTAATTCAAAACTTGTGTCTTTGAATCATATATATATATATATATATATATATATATATATATATATATATATATATATATATATATATATATATATATATATACATGTATATATATATATATATATATATATATATATATATATATATATATATATATATATATATATATATATATATATATATATAGAATACACAAAAAAATTCAATCATGTAATTCTTTTGTTCGACAAACATTGTATTCATTGTATATGTAATATTAGAGCTCTGGTAGACTAAGCATGTGTCATTAATATACATGTACATGTATCTCATATACATAACATGTATAACTTTTTTCAATATAATTTATTTTGATTTATATGTTTGACAATCATTGTATTCATTTTGTATGTATAATAAGGAAAGGATCTACTAAGTTGAAAGAACTTTTATCCAATCGGCTATTGTATATATCATACAATAAAATATGTTCAAATCAAAATCAAATCAACTAATGATTTTTCAACATTTTATTTTTCTTGTTTTTGTTTGCATGTGCTCAATGAAAGTTTTTATTTTGTTATTCAGTAAAATCACCACTGACAGTACAGTTAATTACCGATATTTTTATATATCGATCGTTTAAATTTTAAATATATTTGAAATTTAATCTTCCTGGTACAGAAAGTTCGATTAAGGATCGGATAGAAATATCTTCCGTTATTCGAAAACTTTAGTGACCTTATTAAAACAGCAAGTACGAAATAATCATGTAAAATATTTAAAAGCTGCTTTCAGAGGTCTGAATTAATATGCTGTAGTTGAGTACATTGAGAAATATCTGAACATTCCTGAAGGACTCAACAAAATCGAAGTATTAAACAAAAAGTTGCAAAATAATATTTAGCTTAATTTAATTTTTATTTAAAAATTCACTAATTTAAAACATATTTCTTCATTAACGTCGTTTTACCGTATACATTTTTGTCAGAGAATTTCTAGTATTAACAACTGCTGACGACTCCATCATTCACTGGAATGTACTCCCCCCTTGTGGAATGGAAACATATAGTAAATAAAAATCTTTTCTTTTTTTTTTTATAGAATTTAAAGTAATGTTTCAAAGGAAGAAAGAAAATAGTTTGGAATACCCTATTTTTAAATCGTTTTTTTAAAAAGTCGGGTTATAAATATCCTTTTATTCTATAAAGTCATTTTTAAAAGAATTCACTTCGATGAAATTTTAAGCCTCTATTTTGACAAACTTCAATCTCCGCTACATGAAGATTCTTTCACAATCATTAGAAAACCTATCTAAATTCTCTAAGTAATTTTCCTACATGTCGTTGTGTAAAAATTTGGACAGGGAGAAGAGACTGCAGAGTGAATGCGTACTGAGTAAAAAGTAGGACTGCGTATTTGTTCTTCATTATTTGGCTTGTAATTTGGCAAATTTGCACAAAATAAACCTTGCTCTATAAAATTGTCTAAAAATATGACAACTTTGAAGCCTTTATGTGCTTGATTTTTTTTTTCCACTATTCTCCCAATTTATCGTTATCTTAAAATGAGGACACCTTTTGAATATAAAAAGGTTAGTTCATTATAGTTACACAAAAATACTTTCTTTTACCAAAATATTTTCTCAATAATTCAAATAAAATTTGTGTGTGAAATTATATTTCATTTTCATCTACTTAAAATGTAATTATAGATATGTTCAGTTGAAATTGCAAGTTTAACATTTTTCCTTCATTAAATTCTTAATTTGTTGAACAATTCCGTTTCGAAATGAAAAATAGTAATGAGCATAAATAATAATAAATCTTCATCATTTTATTTTCCTCCTCTTTTACCTCACGCCGTGTTGTGCTCAGTGGTAGGTCGTTGTTTTGGTTGTTTCTTTATTCAGTAAAATCACCTCTGACGTTAGTAAAGATATCGATATTGCATTTATCGATCATTTTAATCTAAAAATATTTGAAATTTAACCTTCCTAGAAATTTCTTCCGTTATTAGAAAACGCTTGTGATCTTATTGAAATGGTTATGTACTAAATAATCATGCAAGACATTTAAAAAAAAAAAATTGTTTACAGAGGATCAAAGCAATGTATCCTAGTTTCTCATACAACTGAGTATCTTCGTTGAGAGATCAACATATCAAGTTCCTATCAAATCACACTTAAAGGTTCTTCTTTTGATGAATCTCACAGCTGTCGAAATGATAAATTAGTTCAGGAAGGAAAAAATACACAAATTATATGTTCTATGAGATAATAGAATGCGACAAAAAGCAAAACTTCAAAACTTAGCATGGCAATTACCTTACTTATCATCATAATTAGAAAATATATATACATGTATATACAATGCAAAATGCGATACCAAATCAATTGATCGGAAAGTATTTAAACTCAAGAATTTCTTTCTTACTCAATGATCCTGCCCTGCGAATAACCTCAGGTTTTTCCCATAATCGTTAAAGAGTTTCTTACTTAATTTGCATTAATGTTGCCCTCAATATTTACTGGTGTTTAAACTTCCTGAAATATTTAATTCGGCTTTGCATTAATAAAAAATTCTTCCGTTATTTGAATGAACTGACGTTACCCTCCGCATAGGTATTGTGTGAGGGAACTGAAAGCATTTAACATTGCACTTTCTTAAGTTATTTGTACATACATTAAACGATCAGTCTGAAGAGAAAGAAATAAACAAACAACCAAAAGTTTAAAAATATTTTACAACATACTATTTGGTACTCTGTTGTGAATAATTTCTAGTTACCATTCTTTTTATCTTCGTTATAATGTGTAAAAGTTATTATTTTGAAGACAGTACATGTATTTTATATACCAAATGATTATCATTATCTGAGATGCTACACGTTGCTTGAGGAACGTGTTTGAAATTAACACGTACAATAATGAAAATGATGCAGCTCCTTCTTATATTTCTTTGGTGCTACCTTCGTCGATTAAAATTAAGGTTTATCAATATCATTTTTAACCATCTGTTGAGTTTTATAGTCAGTTGTAAGATACTAGTAACTGACAAAAACTCTATCTTTAATTTTTTTTTTTTTTTTAGTGTCTTATCCGCCCAAAAGACACGAGTAGAGAAATTTACACATGACCTCGTATTCCATTCATTATTTCGAAATACTAAATATGGTCAAAGACTTCTACTTTTCAAGGGTTCCAATAAGATTTATAAAGATAAGTCAGAATTATAAATCTTAAGTCAATCACAGCCAATCTTTGATAACTGACATGGACTTATTTCATAAATCATTTAGTGTCTGAATAAAAACGCAGCTCATGATGCTAAAAATTTTAAAGTTCCTAGACTCAAATCACCTCCGTGGACTTGGAATGAGTCCAAACTTTACCTTACCCGGGATTCCCATGTCTTTATTTAGAAACATAAAGTCACGTGAACATCTATACAGAAATCTCTATACATAAAGGCAGGTGAATTAAAACTATTTTAAAAAACTTATACATGTAGTTTCTTGCTTGTTGATTTCTGATATTTTAAAGAAGTTTTTCATCAAAGTTAATGTGAAGTATAAAAACAATACAGAGATTTTTTTTTAAAACATCCTAATATTAATTAGTTTTGAACTAATTTTAAACCAGTTTAAACAAATAGTTCTTTATTCCAGTTTGTCCTGCAATGTCTACTTTGTAAAACAGAAATTCCATAAAGGATTCTTTGAATATAAATAAACTTTTAATATGTTTCTTCTTTGTGCCACGCTTAAGTAAATATCACCGAGCAAAATTAACATTTTTAAATTAAAATAACTTTTTAATATATTATACTAAATTTGGACGTTTATCTGTTAAATTCTCTATCTATAATTATTGTATGTCTATTATTTAGTTGATTGTGTCTCATTCTCTTTGAAGCAGGATTAAGACATTCCAATTGACTTTAAGTGACGTGTCAAAAGAATTGATACTCGTTAGGTGTAAATACCTCAGGACCTGTTAATCTAATATCAATAACTTTGTTTATATAATTATTTAGCAATGTCTTTTATGTCCATTCCATCAAAGAAACACACCTGTCTATCAATTAACTCAGCTAGTGTCATAATTCAATTATTGTTTACTCTCTATCTTACAAAAAGCTATGTCCATTATACTTTCTTCAGTTTTGGAGGCCCGATGCTCTACCGGCCACATCC